GCCGTCACTACTCCAATATTTGATCACAAGAATTGAAGTTCGCGAGTCGCACAACAAGAAAAATACCTCTTAACTTTTGCATGAATGATCTCCGCGAAAACACTAACAGAATTAATAATAATAATAACATATTCTCGGCAAGAACGTGGAAAATGAGTACCATTACCACTTCTCCTCCTCCGCCTTGCCGAATGAGATATCAAAATATACAGTCTCTAATCCATCCGCTGATTCTCTCAGATTAGGGTTGTAAAGCTATGCAGAGATTCATAGACGCCATTCACTGAGCCGCAACACTGTTTAACTGATTTATGAGCTAGTATCTGAAATGCTATATTACCTTCGCTTGATCTTCATACAACAATTTTGTCACTGTCGTTATTTCTTTGAAGAAATCTTTTGTGATTTCAAAGTGGTTCACTAATTTCTGTGTTCTGTTGAACCATCTTTTCACCTACTTTATCACCATTATTATTATGACTACCACGAATTTTCTCATTCATTAACATCTTAGTTTTCTCTTTTTTAGCAGCCTACAGACTTGTCAATCTAACTTTCCTGCAACAGCTTTGTGTTCACACGCTAAATTTAGTCTCATTTTAACTAACTTGATTTGCTGTTTGCTGATACATCACACTACTACTATCTCAAACATGCCAGACCTAACCGATTTTTTAAGATCCACATCTGTAACACTGAAATGTAAATTTTAAATAGGCAGGATCAGCTAAACTTATTCTCGCTGTATTACCGTAGGAAACGGAATGATCTCATACTGGCATTTCTTATTCTTGATAGTGACTTCGGTACTGATATGTCCTATCCCTGTACATGGGATTCCAGAATTGCCAAGTGACCGCTCGGTCAAAGATCGGTACTTTCATGACGTCCAACAATGGCAATGGCTCTCAACCAAAGTTGGTCTCAACAGTATACCGGCCAACAGCGTCAGTAGACTGCCAAGGCCAGCGCACCTGAAGACCATACCCAATCCCAGACTACTCGCCGTCCAGTTCGACTCATATGCCTCCCTCACAGACGTTCTACAGGCATGGTATAATGCGAAGGATCGCATGGGTGGCTCAATACGTATATGTGAAAGTAAGCCTAGACCCACAAGGCAAGAGGAGAGACGACAACCACCAAGACCTCTGGAGTCAGTGGTCGTCACACAGGCGCTGACCAGTGAGTTAGATACATCAAGTAAAGAAGCCACCACTGCCACAGCCCCCACCCAAGTTAATAACAAAACACCAAAAAACGGAACAATGCCAGTCCTATGAGGACTGGCGAGGGTAGACCCAACCACATAAGCTCTCATCCTGCGAAAATACACAACCAGACCTCCCCCTCACCAGGCACACTCTAATATGTATGTACAGCAACGTTAGGGGGCTAAGAGGGAAGGTAGCAGAAATGAGGACGCTGCGTGCACATCAGCACTCCGACATCATATTCATCACCGAATCCTGGCTCTCGCCAGACATCTCCGACGAAGAGATGCATGTTACTGGCATGGAACTCTTCCGCAGGGACAGGGAACATAGAGCAGGAGGAGGAGTGGCTATCTACGTAAACTCTTGTTTAAAGGCAAGGATGGTTAGCGATACGGCCTTAACCCAGCTCCCAGAGTCCCTATGGTGCTACTTCACTCTCCACAGTACCAAATATTTGCTCGGAGTCATATATCGGTCCCCCACCTGCTCCCCTACACATAAGGAAATGATCATCAAGGCTATCTTAACGACTTCCTCTGCAAATTACGATTCCGTAGTCATTGCCGGCGACTTCAACACCCCGTCCATCCTCTTCGAGACGGAAGGGAGACGCATCAGATCCTTCAATCAGAAGCTGAAGGATGCAATTAAGACTGCTGGCCTCTCAGAGAAAGTGGGTGATGCTACACGCTGGGGACCTAACGGAAACGCATCGCGCCTTGACTACGTTCTGACGAACGATGAACTTCTCATTGAGGATGTTTGCATCCAACCTCCCCTTGGCCTCAGTGACCACGCTGTAATCACCTTCTCCATGATAACTAGGGAGGCTCTGCAACTGGAGACGCCCAACACCTTCCCTTGCTACAGCAAGGCCAACTATGAGACCATGAGGGACTACCTCATGAATGCATCATGGCCAGTGGACTGGACTCATCTCACAATAGATGAACACTGGTTGGAGGTGAAGAAAATAATCACTGGGGCCATCAGTCACAGTGTACCAGAAGTAACACACAGACAATCAATGAGAACCTCATGGTTAAAGCGTGGGACAGAGAGGCTTATCCGGAGCAAGAAGCAGGCTTGGTTCAAGTGGCTTACATCACGCAGGGAGTCTGACTTCTTGAACTACAAAAGGATTCGCAATCTCTGTAACATTAGAGTGCGTAACGACAGATTTTCCTACCAAACAAACTTGGCAGCGAGGTTACAAAGCAACCCCAAAAACCTGTACCGCTTCATGTCAAGAAGAAAGTCGACCAGTAAGGGAGTGAATCTTGTCACAGGCCATGACGGGAGTGTGCTAAGCAGTCTAGAGATTGCCGAGCTTTTGAGCTCACACTTCCAAGCCCAACTCAGCACTGACACAAGATCCACACCGACTCGCCACGACACCGACCAGGTCGCAAATAACGAATACCTCTGTCACGTCTCTATTACAGAGAAAAAGGTGTTCGAGAAGCTATCTAGGCTACGTCCGGGCAAGTCCCCTGGCTGCGATAATCTGAAACCAGTGGTTCTGAAAAACTGCGCCGAGGTGCTTACCAAACCACTTCGCAACCTCTTTGAGCACTCAATAGACTCGTGCAAACTCCCTAAAGAATGGAAGAGTGCCATCTTGTCACCCATCTTCAAGGGAGGAGACAGAAAAAACCCTGGCAGCTACAGGCCGATTGCCCTACTCCCTATTGTGTCGAAAGTGTTGGAAAGCCTGGTAGCTGACACCATCTGGGAATTCCTCAATAGAGAAAACACTGTCCACACTGCTCAGCACGGCTTTCGTAGTGGTCGCTCATGTGCCACCAACTTACTAACTGCCTGGGACGACTGGACACAAAGCTGGGATAATAGAAAACCTGTACATGCTGTATTTCTCGACCTAGCCAAAGCATTTGACAGTGTCCCACCCACAGTACTGCTTCACAAGATCATGTCAGCTGGTATAAGTGGACCCCTACTCTCTTGGTTCAAGGAGTACCTGGAAGGGAGGCAGTTCTGCACTAAAGTGAACAGAATAAGGTCGGAGTGGAGACCGTCGACGTCAGGAGTATCCCAAGGAGCAATCCTAGGACCGCTTCTGTTCCTCCTGTTTGTCAACGATCTGCCAGACAAAATATCCTCACCCATCCTCCTCTTCGCTGACGACATAAAAATTTGGAGGGTGGTAAACGAAGAAGCCGACTGTGCAGCACTACAAAAGGACTTGCAGCAACTCGAGCTCTGGTCGTCGGAAAATGGTCTGAGCTTCAACTGGAAAAGTGCAAAGTAATGCACATCAGTAAAAATGAGGCAAGTACGACCGACTTCCAGTACATGTTGAGCAACCGTGCTATCACCAGAGTGTCCATGGAGAAAGATTTGGGGCTCAACTTCTCCGACACCTTGGACACCAGCTCCAACTACAAAGGTATGACAACCAGAGCGAACGCCATTCTACACTTTCTGCGTAGACAGCTTGGCGCCCTCACTCCCGAACTCTTCCTCACCATTTTCAAATCCTACGTGCGGCCGCACCTAGAGGTCTTCAATACGGTGGCTCCTCCAACACTCAAGAGAGACTCTAATCTCCTTGAAAGAATACAAAGAACTGCAACAAAATCAGTTGTGGGGCTAAGGGGAAAGACGTATCCTGAAAGACTTAAACACCTCAACCTATTTACCTTGGGTTATCGCAGGAAAAGGGGTGACCTCATTATGGCATACAAGATCGCCCATCAGGCAGACCATGCAAACAAATCAATTTTGCCTGCAACTGAACGATCTTCACGAGGAAACCCCATTAAGATAGCACACCAGAGAGCCAACACCACACTCAGGTCCAAATTTTTCTCCCTGAGAGTATGTGCTTTATGGAATGCCTTACCGCGACACATCGTTATAGCTCCTTCAATCGACTCTTTCAAGAGGCGATTAGACAGTTATGTCACCTCGCATGGACTACCACGGACGTACTCAGGTAGTCACCAACCTCAGTACCCCCAACTCCCTCCTAACTACCACTCACTATCTCTCTCCTTAATACACCCACATTACCTACTAATTCTTCTGTAGGAACCAAACCCACGCGACCATTCGGGCAATTCCCAAATACTTTTCTTTCGTTCTCATTTCTCTCTTCACCCCTTCTTTTATTCTCCTTCCCTTTCCTCTTCCCTACATTATTATTACTATTATTTTTATTTTTAATTTTATTTATTTTTTATTTTTTATTTTTTTTTTTATTTTTTTATTTTTTTATTTTATTTATTTATTTATTTATTTTTTTACTCTTCCTTATTTCTCTCTTCATTCCTTTACCACTACCTTAATATTCTCTTTCAGGTACCTACACAGACAGGAGTCACGGTTGTTCTCTAAACTTCCCAGCAGCCCGTAGCTCCCTAATCACTCTACAAATTACAACCTACTAACCCACAAAACATCCACCTCACCGAAGCTAAAAGCAAGAAAGCAGAGGGGATTTCCTCGTCCACTGCAGGAGTGAACCGAACAACTGGAACCAAGCCCTAAGAACTAGACGCGAGAGATCAAAAACTACTAGTTTTCTACGCTCGCACTATCAATATTGGATATTGGATATTGGACATAAGCTGTTTATGTTGTTTAGAATAAGGCGATTATGATTATTTGTACTATCTTCGAAAGATGGCATTATCAAGGAAGTACAACCGAACAAAAAGAACCAAGACTTAAGATCTAGAAGCAAGAGCTTAAATTTGCAAGTTTCCTCTATTGGCACTATTGCTGTTGGATGTGGAATATAGAGGCCGCTCTTTTGAAATGCGTACGTTATTTTGATTTGACTTTCTCGTGATTCAGCTGACTTTCAAGTTTTGGTTTGTTTCCTTTGTCTTTTATGCGTGAATAAGTGGGTTAAGCCGACTTTTATTATATCAGTAAGTATAGGGCAATCCTTTGCATTTTCTGAGTTATGGAGTTATATTTTTCTGAAGGAAATTAATTACTTCCGTAATTACATTCTATCATCATGCAGGCATGTCACATCCTGTGTTAGTGCAATACAGTGAGTAATCTTTAATGATGAGTGAAAGTGTGTGCATTAGATTATGTACAGTGAAACTATATGAGTTACGCAAGTAGGCTTGTTTCAGTTAGCAATAACTAATTAACGGTACTGTTTTTCAGCAGTGTTATGTATGACATGCATGATTACCAAAATGTCATAGCGAATTTGAAAGTCAAAAGTCTGTTCTTCAGACAGTTTACATTGAGCATGTAGAACTTGAAGGCCTGTCTTACATCCATGGTTGTGGAAAATGTATGGACTATAAGTTAGGCTTAAATTAGGGTGAATTCCAACAGGACTCGTTATACATAAACTATGGCATTTCAAAGGCTTACGTGGATAGTTCTGGAAAAAGTGGCTACTTAGAAGAACCTGACGATTTCCTTGTCATTTCTGGAGACTCATTATTTCCTCGTTTTTGGTAGCTCCCGTCTTCTTTTCTCTTCCAGATATTCATTCTGGTTTAGAGGAGTACCACCACCAAGCATAAATGGGTCCACTTAACCATGTGCGGCGGCGTACCTGCACCTCATATATAAACCTACTGATATCTGGTTATCACATCAACCATCCTGGCAGTCTGAAGCATACGTTCACAAATATATGAACAATCTTGTCTTCTTTTATTGTAGGATTAAAATTTTTTTTATTATTATTAGTCCCTTAGGTTCCTAGTGGAACATAGGGCTTCAGTAGCACGTCTCCAGTGAACTCTGTTCTCTGAGATCTTTTGAACCTGGTTCCACGACAGCCCAGAAGCTCTCATTTCCTCCTCGCACGATCTCCTCCATGTCACCCTCAGACGTCCAACTCGTCGCTTCCCCTGGGGATTCCACTCGAGTAACTGGCCTGACACGTGATGTCCCCAGTCGGCCTTCTCAGTGCATGTCCAATCCATCTCCACTTCCTCCTGCATATTTGTTGAGCGATAGGTTCTTGGTTGGTTCGTTCCCAGAGCTCCTTGTTGCTTATTCTTTCTGGCCATCTGATCTTCAGTTGCGAGCGTAGGCAGTTGTTGATGAATGTCTGTAGTTTATTGGAAATCCCTTTCGTGACGCGCCAAGTCTCTGAACCATACAGAAGCACTGACTTGACGTTGGTGTTGAAAATCCGTATCTTGTTCCGCATGCTGAGTGCAGAAGATCTCCACACTGGTTTCAGGCTAATGAACGCCTGTCTTGCTTTTCCGATTCTGACTTTGACGTCCTCGTCCGTCCCGCCTGTAGTTGAAACAGTGCTTCCTAGATAGGTGGAGGTGAAGGAGGTTACTTCCTTCAAGTTTCTCCCGTTGACGGTGATTGGAGTTTGTTGTTGTTGTTGATGGTGGTGGTGCGGTATCTTCATCACCTCTGTCTTCTCTATATTCACTTGAAGTCCCGTCTTCGCTGCCGCGCATCTTCTGTCAACTTGTTAGTTTTCGCCTGTAGACCTTCAAGTTTGTGTGACATCAGGCACAAGCCATCACTAGCGAAATCCAAGTCTTCTAGGTTCTTTTCCGCAGTCCAGCCAGTGTATCTCCCTCTTCTCGCTCCCCACTGTTTGCTGCATGACCCAGTCCACCACAATCAGGAATATCATGGGGGATAGTAGGCAACCTTGTTTCACTCCTGTCTTCACTTCAAAAGCATCACTGAGCTTTCCATTGTGAATTACTTGACATGTGGCATCTTCATATAGTTGTTGAATGAGGCGGAGAAGGGTTGGCGGTACTCCGTAGTAATGAAGCAGCTTCCAAATTACTTCTCGGTCGACGCTGTCAAAGGCCTTCTCAAAGTCGATGAAGTTGAGGTAGGGAGCTGATTGCCATTCTATGCTCTGTTCTATGATGATGCGAAGCGTTGCAATTTGGTCTGCACATGATTTGTACTTCCTGAAGCCTGCCTGTTCCGGTCGTATTTTTGAATCCAGTGCATCCTTTAGCCTCTCCAAGATGATGCGGCTTAATATTTTGCTTGGGGTGGATAGGAGAGTGATTCCTTGCCAGTTCTTGCAAACACTGAGGTCTCCCTTCTTCTGGAGTTTGACAATATAACCCTTCTTCCAATCAATGGCCAGGTACCTTCTCTTCCTTCCACACCTGCAATGGTGGTGTGAGCATGTCCGCTGTTGTCTCTGCATCTGTTTTCAGTGCTTATGGCGGGATTCCATCTGGTCCTGCTGCTTTCCCGCATTTCAGTAACTTTATGGCGTTCAGGACTTCCACTTTTGTTGGAGGATTTATGTTCACTTGTAGTTCTGTGGCTGGGCTGCAGATGGTATTTCTGGACGAAGTGCAGGTGGTGGTCGATTCAAGAGCTTCATGAAGTGGTCGGCCCATTGTTTCCTCTGTTTCTCTTCTTTTGTAATTAAATTTCCTTCTTCATCTTTTATTGGCTTCGTCTGCGTTGATTTCTTCCCAGTTAGCAACCTGGTTATTTGATACAATGTCATCAGGTCTCTCTTACCTGCAGCCTGTTCTGCTTCACTTGCCAGTGTTTCGTAGAAGTGTCTTTTGTCTTTGCGAGCACTCTTCTTCACTTCTTTGTCCAGTGTTTTGTACATTGTACTCAGTTCCTCTTGTCGTTGAGCATCCTTGCACTGGTTTATCTTCTGCTTCACCATCCTCCTCTCCTCTATCAGCTTTCATGTATCCATTGAGATCCATTCCTTGTCTTCTTTCTTCTTCCTTCCTAATACTGTTGTGCAGGTTTCTTTCCACATAGCTTTCAAAGACTTCCAGTGTTCTTCCACACAGGTTTCTTCAGGGATGTTGCTCGATGTCTCCCATTTTGTCTTGATGGCTGTCGTGAAGATCTCCTTTGTAATTTCATCCTTCAGTTTCCGAGTGTTGTACTTGAATTGAGGTCTATCACCACCTTCCTTGAAGGCTTTTAACTTGATTTGGAAGGTTCCTTGCACTAGATAGTGAGTGGTGTGAACCTACATCTGCTCCTCTTCTTGCCCTTGTGTCAAGTAGACTGCGTCTCCATTTTCTTGAGATTGAGATGAAGCCGACTTGATTTTTAGTGTGTCCTGGTGTCTGGTGAAATCGAATCCATGTCGCTTTGTGGATATCTTTGTGCTTGAACACACTGCCTCACTGCAATCACCAAATCGGTGAATGCGCAGAATTCTGCAAACAATTCTCTATTCTCGTTCATCACCTCACCGAGCGCTTCTCGACCCATGGTTAGTTCTCTTCCTGTGTTGTCCCCACCCGGTTTGGCATTCATGTCGCCCATTAGAATTTTGATATCGCCAACTGGGTGGGGTCTTGTCCAGTGTTGATTGCAGTTTTCTGTAGAATTCATCCTTTTTCTCTTGCTCTGCATTATTTGTAGGGGCATAGCATTGTATGATTGTGACTTTCCTTCCTTTTGAGTTGAATCTTGCTGCCATGATCCTGCATGAGGAGATTGGTTCCCACTGGATGAGAGCCTTCGATGCTCTTGGGGACATCATGATAGCCACTCCCTCAGTGTGCTTGTGGTTGTCGTCTGGGTGACAATATTGGAGTAGATTATTGATTCTCCAGTTGACAGTTTGGAGAGTCCACTCCCATTCCATCTGCTTTCGCAAATTCCAAGCACTTCGATGTTATACCTTCTCATCTCTTTTGCAATCTGGGCTGCCTTGCTGGGTTCAAACATGGTGCGGACATTCCATGTCCCCACGTTTACTTTCGCTTTCATTGAGAGGAGAGAAGACACATCGGCCAATTGGCTTCCCGAAGGCAGGCTTTCACCAACTGGCGTCATTTCGCCTCTCCGATTCCAGCGAGGAATAATTTTGTTTTTATTTTTTATATTTTGTTTGTGCTTTGAAGTTTGTTTAGCGGTTAGATTTGTTTTACGGGGTAGGGTTGCTAGCCCTATGCCCAACCTTCCCTCTTTACCCGGGCTTAGGACCGGCTAGTAACTAGTGAACTAGTTAACCAGGCGAGGTTAGGATTAAAATTGGCCTACGCCAAAAAATCTATTTCCGAGTGTTGCTTTAAATAATGCCATTTATCTGTGACAATCAACGTGGTACCTCACCGAAGTAATGACTTCAAATGGTTATACTTCACAAAAGCGTGAAAAGAACAGGTGGATAGGAAAATACTGATATCAAAGTAAAAAAAAAGTGTATCAGACGAAAAGAAACAGGAAGACAAATGCCAGTGAAAGTTTTCAAACTTGAGCTGTCAAGAATGGTTGCATCTACTCCATTGTGACCGATTTTCAGTCATTTCACTAGTTCTGCAAACTGTTAATTCATTTAGTCTTAGGTACCCAACTCATGCAGTCCAAACCTCCCAGCGCAACTGAAACCAACAATCAGAAACTGCATGACCTAGTGTCGCGTCTTGGTGTAATCACCCTGAACCTTCTACCAATCCAGTCTCTAGCATCTCACGTCGAGGCAGGCATATACAAAACATATCCGAGCCACCTCAGTCGGTGAAGGTTCACATCCTTATCAACTGACATTCCTTCTTTGCGTAGTACTTTTTGCCTAACCTAGACATTATCCATGCGGTCATTCCACTGTATATGAGCAATGCTAAGGAGACACCTGTGGTCAAGAAAGTATCATCTCTTTCACAGTCATGTCCCAGTAGTATAACAGAATATGTTGGACTGAAGAACAGTACACTCATCCTTCAATAGGTTGTCGAATATTTCTCTGGCATCAGAGATGATGCAAGTTAGCCAATGCTAAACAGGTTTGTATTCGAGCTGAGATTTTGTCATCAACCAGCCTGTTCAGGATGGTACAGCTCAAATTAAGCAAAGTGGTCAAAGCATTATGCCATTTAACTTTCTATCCTCAAACTGAGAGTAGTTGCATTCCAGTCCTGAAGCATTATCTTTCATTTGTAAGATACGAAACGCATGCTGAACGTACTCAGATTTCTGCTCAAGGCTTTTCGAAGCCCCTTCATTTTATCAGCGCCTTCACTTAACAGGACAATGTCGTCTGCGTCGAAAAGAAAACTCGAAACACAATGAACCACACCTATTTTTGTGAGCAAATGATACTGCCTGGTTGTCCAAACCTTTGTAGGTGACACAGGGTTTGGATTCGCGGCCCTTTGGTTGAAAGTTATCTCCTTAAACCAATGAGCTTAAGTTCGTCTGCGTACCCCAAGTCAACCAGATACCCTTCAAGGAGTAAATAAATCCGCATGAATTCAAAAGTATCCAAGGTTATGTCCATTAGTACATTTCGAACGGTGAAAGTCAGCATCCCTGGTGGACATAGTTTTCATCCCTGATCAAGATGGCATCTCTTCGTAAGCCTTCACGCGAATGCATGAGTTTGAGTCGAGAACTTTGATCAGCTTTGCATACTTTCACGGTATTCCTTCATAGTCAGACACTGCTACGACACTTCATAGTCGAGGGGTCAAAAAATATGCCACATTCTGACCATCAGTATGCTTGTGTTCCATAACCTGTCGAAGCGTGGAGATCTGATTGACGCACCCTCACTCGGGTCTGAAAGCTACATAGTTTTCCCGACTTTTGTCAGACAGCTATGGACCCCAGGATCTTAAATACTATGTTGGTCAGACTGATCCGCTTATAATAATCGCAGGAAGGCTTCTCTCCCTTCTTATAAGCTAGAATGAATAGTGAAATAGACCAGTCTAGTGGGACTACTTCTAATTGGTGTGCGCGGTTAAACACCTTCGTTACTCTGCTCCATAGTTTTCTGTCTCCCTCGTTTAAAAATATCTGATGGCATACTGTCAGGTCCTGCTGCTTCACATAGCTTCAGGTTTGAAACAGCCTTCTGAACTTCGAGGAGTTGTAGGACCGATATCTACGTTCCAGTCAGACTCCTGCTGGATGGTGAGCAGCCGAAGTGTTGTTGTGGGCTAGTCGAATTGTGCTATAAGGTGGTCCACACAACGTTATGGCCATCTTTGCTGAGAGGCTTTCAGGGTCGCATCTTTTTCGATGATGGTGTCACTCACCATCGTCTTATTGCCGGTATTTTTAATATGCCTAAATAATCACCAGGTGTTACATAAGGCTGATGTCTTTCTCATCTTCGCTTTCGCCACCCATCACTGCAAAGACTTTCAGTTGATTTTTTCGCTTGATTTGTTTTCGCTCCTCGCTGAGAGATGTAGCTGGAATGAGTCTTTTCGCATCAGTCAGTCCGAATGACGTTGCGGAAATCTACTAGCTTTTATCAACCTTTGGATGTAGATTACCACCTTTTTGTAGTACACTAAATATCACGTCAGGCTTCATCATAATAAAAATTGCTGTCACGTTCAGGTAATTGCGTAGCTGGACGGACAGACAAAGTCTTCTTGGGACCGGGAGTTACTAAGCAACAATCCAAGTTGCCACACGTAATATCAGCACTGCAGGTGCATACATACGTGCTCGTGATAACACATGATCGAATTCCAAATAGGTTCTATAGAAAGGCCATCCTGCACGTGCCCTGTCTTACGACGGCTTATAGCAACATATAATCTATCCGTTTCCGTCGTCAGTTCGATGTTGGCAGACACCAAGTAAGATATTAGCTCTACATATGTCCGAGGTTGGTGCTGGCTAGAAACAAGCAATTTCTAGAAAAAAAGCCGCAGCAAACGATCACGATTGTCGGCTAATCGGTTTGGAATCCCAGAAATACCTTTCAAATGCCTCCCTGATTGTCAGCTTTCCTACGTGAACCTTAAATTGGCCTGCTATTATGACGTTTTGCTTTCTGTACCAAAATTGACAGCTTTCTGGTAGAATTCATCCTTTGCATCATCTGAACTGCAGTCGGTGGGTGCGTAGGTGGAAACTACGAATGGGTATCGGTACGTCATGATTCTTCCTGGTTCTTACAGATCCATTCAGCTGAACAGCACATAAACAACTGGTGACTAGTAAGCAGTCGAGAAGTGCGCTTCCTTCTCGAGAACTTGGTGCTAAACCTACACCACTGAGTCCATAAGAGCTAGTCGTTGAATCTCCAGATACTCTTAAAGTGGACTTCGCAAATTCACGGCATTGGTCAGGTAAGGTCAAGTAATTAACCACGCTCAGACCCTATGTCTCAAAAATGCAGCATAAGTTTATGGCTCGAAGTTTCAGAGTTCTAGTAAGTAATGCCACTTGTCCAATTTGGCATCGGATTCGGACGTTGAAAACTTTAGTGTGGAACTGACAGGCTGATTTCAGGAGACCACTATTAAGGGCAAATTTTTTGGACAACCTTAGCACATTATGTAGATACAAAGCTCACGTCTGACCGTCTGGCCTACAGAAAAAAATCGACTTTGTTGTTCATCGTTTTGAAGATTGGAAACTTGTGACTTTATAGCTAAGATTAGTAGATAATCTAATTTTATAAAAGATATATACTTCCGTTTGAACATAATTGGCTGTTTTATACATATGTATTTTAGTAATGTAGATACTTGCTTAACCTAAGCTGCGTTACGTGGAGATGTTTAGTGACCAATATCTACGTAGCACCACAAACTCCAATCATATGACCGAGAAACAAACTGTATTAAGAAAACACTAGTTTTGTAGCTTTCTTTTATCCTAATTACATAACCCTAGCTAATATTAATAATTGAATGTCTCATGGCCTATTCATTAGTCTAATTATCTGCTATCCACTCTGCAATGTTCTGTCGAAATCTCTTACTTTCTGTTCCGTGTTTGAAACCCTTATGAGTTTTTTGATCATTGCGAAACACTAAGGTAAATTTTTCGAGTTTGTTAGCAAGTGTAAACTTTTGTTGACTAAAAGCGAAGATGTGGAGAGTCAGAATTGTGCTTAGAGCGTGAAAGTTTGCGCACATACTGGTAATAAATCATAACCCAGTGTAAATTCCTCTTTCATGACCCTTTCGTCAAGAAAACACAAAGAAAAAAGCAAGATTGACAAATAGTCTTGGGTGGTCGTATGCATCTTTATTCCTAGCAGTTCGGTTGAAATCCTCCTCGGCTTGAAAATACAATAAACTGCATATAATTACTGGTTATTCAAGAATGGCAGGATTCCGTAGTTCTATCATTTCAGGTACTGATTATCATACGGCAAACAGTATTCATCAGTGTACTTCATTAAAACAACTTTAATTACATACTTATATTACCTGTGGTATATGTCAACGGTTGATATTTGATGTCTGCTACCATCTCTACCGATTATACGCTAACTAAACCAGTAGGTAAATTCCTTCATTAAAACCATGTGTCTGTCAGATTAATCAAAAGTAAATGGAAAGTAGTAATCATACGACTCGTCTTCATCTGCAATTATCGATATTGTCACTTATATTCTTGCCAACAAATCAGACATGCTTCATAATCCTCAGTCAAGATTTCTTCTGTAACAACAGTTTTTTTGAAATTCGCAGAAATCTAAATTTCCTCTAATGCAAAACAGTCCTAAAGCACACATTGACTGCGGAGTGTTAAAAATGTAGTGGTCCATATCAGTTTATCATAGAGCTGAACTTAAATCAACACAGGGTTAACATCAGGACCAAATGTTGCACAGCCGTATGCTAGCACTACTCCATTAATATAGGACTGAACGGAAGTTCTTCACGTTGGTCCTAGAATATTCCATATATATTGCGAATAAAACAGATTTTGAGAGTCGAAAGTCGTTTCATCATTGGACGTGCCGTTAACTCACATTGAGTCGTCCACTATACGCATATAATGAGAAGTAATTCCCTTGCAAGCTACCAGTTTTCTGATTGCATTGTATAAGGACATTTGGTAAAATTGATAGAAACCAGGTTTCTGTATGATCGTTTCAAGTTTTTTTAAACCAGTAATTTTTTATTTAAATTCGAGAAATTTGGAAGTAAAAAAAACTCAGTTTGAAGCTTAACGTAATTGTATGAACTCTAACACTAAACCCTGACATTTAGTCCTATCGTAGCTTAAAAGTCCCCACTACGGGGCGTGAAACAGTTCTTAAACTCGAAATCCTAAAGCTTACAGAGTATATCAGTTGGCAAATATCTGTGAATTTAAACTAGATAAAGCTGTGGTCGACTGGTCGAGATAGTTTATTCTCACCCATCATGTAATATGGTTCGTACAGATGATTTTAACGGATTCGACAACCATGTGCACATTCGTACAGTAGGCACTGAGCCACATACACTGTGAGAGCTAGTGATATTACCTGGCTGTCCGAACCCCAGTAGGTGGAGCAGGGTTTGAACTCGTGACCCCACTGATTGACAGTTATCTCTCTAAACCGCTGAGCCACAGCTCCAGTCAGATTTTTTTTTACTAAGCCTGATGAAGAAATATACACGGCGAAATGCCGAAGGTCAGAAAACATTGAACCATCATAATCCTCACCTGAAGTTAAATATCTTTCAATCATTTAGGTAGACTACTTGTTTGACAAGTTTTATCACCTCTGGTTTCAATGTTTATCTAATTTGTTCAATGTACCCTTTAAGTGCATCAAAGTGAACTTGTGTTTTACTAAGTGTCATCATCATGAAGTTGTACAAAAATTTAAGTCGGCTATTAAAAGCCTAGTAAAGTTTCAAGTGCTATTTTACCGAGTCTTATTAAACACTGCATTGAATTTTTATTTTATATTTCAGGTGATATTTCAACGATATATATCACTGTTCCACGTGAATTTCTTTAAAAGTAAACAAATGGTTGTATGTACGGTTTGCACTACTGAAACTTCCAAGTATAAATGTCCTGTATGCGTTTCTCCATAGTATGTTGTTTACTGCTACCAATAATAATTCAGCTGCTCAGTCGCTTGTTACCAAGTGCATAAACAGAATAGTTGTGAAAGAAAGGTTTCCACGACAATAGTTGAACATGCAGCCGTAGAACAGGAAGATGATATGATAGACTATGTTCCGAAAAGGGTGTTGCAAGGCCTAAGTAAGTGGCTTAGTGATTTTCTTGTCATTAATTTACAGAGCATTCAGAGCGTATCCGAGTAATGTTAAAAAACCCTCACCTAAGAAGCCTTCTTCGCTATTTAAACGATACCAATAAACCGAATTCTGCACTGGAAAATGCCATGCGGGAGCCTATTTTTGTCGAATTTTCAGATGAATGCCTCAAAATAGTAGAGTCTGGCTGAATTGCATTCTTCCATTCTTCACATTGCCTACTTGTACTAATCACATACAAGGTATTATCATGTACAATAAAGCTTTTCCCTCAACTCATTCAAATATCCACTGTTTACTTGAAACATGATGTGTTAAGGATTTCATTCTGTTTCTCACAGATTTGTCATTAACGAAAATACAGAAAATATTTTGTCGACAGTGCTTATCAGCTGAAATTTACATGCGTCCTGTGGGGTTCAGATCTAAGTATGTCACAGTTATATAGTCCGAGTGCTTGGTAGATTATTCTGACCGGACATCTTTTGTCTGATGCTGGTTGGCAAGTTTGAGTTAGAGTCGAAGCATTTCTATTGTAGTGGCTGGTATCTTCATGTTACAAGCATATGAAACCAAGAAATATTGAAATAACTCAAAAAATCAAAAGGGATTTCAGTAAAGATTCCCTTGTTTTGAGTAACGAATTTGTTAAAAAGATATCAATATCACGTTATGAAACTCTTCGTGATCATAGACCATAAAAAATATTGCCTCCGAAAACTCAAAGTTGTCCCAGTAGGTGGATATTAGCAGACAAAGAACTGTATATAGCAAACGGTTTTATGGGATTACGAAACTGATAAGTTTTTAGCGTCAACTATGATAGAAACGCATGATCTAGACTTTTTTCCTGGATTGTAAATGTGTTCTTAAGCGTACAATGTTTAGTTGTAAGCTTACATTGGAATAAATACATAAAGTGTTTCATACTCATCCCCTTGAAGGTAATGCATCAAAAATAAGTTATGAAGAATTATTATGTCAACCATTGCGTATGGGTTGAAGCCTATCTGTCAGACAGACAAAATCAACTTAGAACCTACCACACAAGTGCATCGGTTTAAGTTGGCACACTTCACAGTAGTACACAAAGAACACGTGAGTAGAAAAAGTTGTGTAAGAGAATAAGTGATTTGAAGATGGTTAGTGCAAATATTCAAGCTTTGGACATCTGCGCCATTGCAACCGATTTCCAATCGCGTCATCAAGAGTCCTCAACCACTCATTCCTACAATCTAGGCGACCCTAGCTAAGTAGTCTACATCCCCCTTGCACAGCTCGAACTAACAGCCAGTAACTTCATCGAGTGGTCTCACTCCTTAGTTTCACTATCCTGAACCCTTTACCAACCTAATACAAGTTCGCCTAACATGGTACATGTATGTATCTCTCACCATACAAATATATATGGCTGCTAACAAACTTTCTATTAGTCAGATGATGAAGAGGCTAGTCACACTAGGAAATGTTTGTTGTCATAATTTACTCAACATCGCTATCACACTTGTATGTGAGTTGGCAAAATCTTTACGTAACACTGCCTCTTGCGTGTTCATAAGCAGTAACGTTTCTACAAAAATGTCCTAATTTGTCTTTTGCATGAATGGCTCTGGAAGCTAATGAAGGAAAGCCGAGATCTATCATTATGGTTTCATCTGCGCCATAAAGTGTATTACAAACTACTGTTACCACTTACTGGATTCATAAAAAATCATACTGCCATAAATGAAGGCTGCTGTTTTCTGAAATGACCAGGTTGTAAAGGGGAGACAATGGCTCATTGGCTTAAATAGTTGACTTTCAACCATTACGTTGTGGGTTGGAATCCAGCTGCGCCTATCATGGTCCCTGCAGACAGGTCACATCATTGGCCATCACATAACAAGTGTGGCTCGTTGTCTACTGAAAGTGGTTGCTGAGTGCGTAACAACCACTATGGAACTTTAGGTGTAAGAGAATGAGAACTTGCGTTCTACCTAGTAAAAAGTAATTAGACGAAGAGATCAACAAGTAACACTAATTCGATTCAAGTCAGATTCGATGCAAGAATTAATGAATATCGCACCTAATTATGTATATCTATTATATAGCTAAGTTCTATGAAGCTGATTATATTTCAGAAAGAAATCATTAGCCGACCTCAGTAACAAGTAAAACACAATAAAACTATTTACCGAGAAAAAACATGTTTAAACTTCCACATAAAGCAATAGAAGCTGATATGATAAAAATTTCACTGTTGCATGCAGATAGATTGGGAAAAGATAAACGAATGATTAAAAAACATATCAGAAATTGCATCGGTATTCGAAGGTGATTAGAAAGATTTAAATATGTGAACATATATTCTAAGAAGCCCAGTTGTGCATACTTTATTCAGATTCGATATTTTGTGATCAGGTCAATTTACTTTATACATGCCATACACGAATACTTCCATCATGCGCTGAGCTTAATAAACGGTCATCACTGATCCAACACACTGATGTGCTATAACTCATTGGATGAGCGCCTTGAAATGTAAAAAAAAAAACAACAAGAGGATATAGTTAACATTTACTAGAAATTTATTTACCGAACAGTTTGTATCCTAGTGTTTTTGCGGTACAATACTTTGAGACATGTTTGCCGATTCAAAAATAACAGTTGTTTGACTGTAAATATATATATATTGTTTGGTTTTTCAGCCGTTGAATTGTGGCTTGAAACTGCTATGTAGTACATATTCTATGCATGAACATCACCATTCGTCCCATATTAGATTTATTTATATGACTTATAACATACGGTGATCTAGTCATCATCATTATCAACATAGGACCAGGCATTACTGCGTAACGGTCCGAGTGATCTAGTATTATTTACTTGATGACATTTCGAGCATAAATTATTGCTTATAATCATATCAATGATATTGACTTCTGTGTTACTCATGTGGTGACACCATGAAACACGGCTTATATTACGAAGGCAATACTGGTCAAACAACTGAAGCCTTCTCATGTCTTCCACCTTCACAGCCATACAGTAGAAGAGAGCAAACTGCTGTGCAGGTGCAGTACACGCCACCCTTAATAGACAATCGGATATCACGACAGTGCCACAGGTGGCGTAAGTTTGCAAAAGCCAGCTCAGCCCTTTGTATTCGTGCAGAGATTTCATCGACCACTGAGCAGCCACCAGGGCTGACCCCACTTCACTTCCTAGTTAAGTGAAGTGGTCGACACACTGAACGACTACACTTTCAAATGCCATATTCGGGTCAACAAATAAAGCGAGTGTCGACCACTGACCAGTAAATACCCCCGTGATCCACAACCTGTTGGAGGATAAAATTGATCGTTACACCCTCGTGCAGGTCTGAAACCTGCCTGGTTTTCTCAAGTGTGCTGTTTTAGAGTGGAACTCCAGTTAGGCGTGGGATAACTATGGATTTTCGACATAATATTGGTCCAACTAATTCCCTCATGGTTGTCACAAGAAGATTTCTCCCTTTTTTCATAGACAGATGATTAGTGAAATACGCTAGTGTAATCGTACTACCTCTGACCTAGGTACCTCCGTCACTTTAATCACCAATTTCCTTCTTCCGTACTCGAAAACTTCGGGAGGCAAATCATCACATCCCATTGCTTTGCATCGTCTTGGGTTAAAAACAAGAGCTGAAGGACCGACGTCTAAGTCCAATTCAACTGAAACGTTGCTAAGGGCCAGTTGGACTGTTTTTCAGCGTGTTCTGCCCAACGTTCTATCCGCCTGCCCGGAAAGATTATCACAGTCCCATCCTTTTTGGTGACGGTTTCAGTCACCTTCGCCTTACGTCTTAAATTACTGCTGAAATAAGTGATTGTCAGAACAAAATTGTCACACATTGGCACCGTTGTCGATCCATCGGTATGGAATTCCATAGATACCTCCTAGATGCCTCTCTATTTATCTCGATTCTCCTACTTGAGCTCTAAAGTTATCTGCCATTATGACTACATCTGAACATTTTGCTTTCCGTAGCCATGTTGAACTATGTACACCTTCGCGTGAGTGGGAATGGAATACATGTTGTACATTACAGCCTTAGCTACTCTAGTAAGAATTATTTCACAGTTTGGCAATAAGTAGTGTCATTCTCTTTAGCAAGAAAATCAGTAATGATGATATGAATTTACTTTGCAGTTGGCTGTAGATAAGAATAATTACAGTCACTATGACTCAGTAACACTTTCTGCAGTTGTTGTTTTTAGTATTTGACAGTTATGATGTGATACATCAAACTAAACGATATACTGTTTCGATCCGATTATATATCGAATAATGACTTCTCAACACGATATTCAACTAAACTTGGAAGAAGAAGAGACAATGGAGTTGAAAGCATATTTACTGAATGGTGTGGTCATTTATATGCCCTTTTTAAAGGCCTTGATCAGGGGAAAACAAAATAGTATAATTACAGGTGTAAAATGAACTAATCAGCGTTTAGTATCTTGAAATGTGGTAAGAATGAGTAACATTATGTGGAGCGAAAAAGGCATGAAAATAGGGTTACACTTTATAATTAAAAAAAAGCAAAATATATACATGTTAGGATCAGATATCTCTAACAGTAGTACATTTCATCAAAATATGTACAGATGAGTTTGTCGATGCTTAACAACTGTCATTAATCGACTATAGAGTGATCTGCTGTTTAAAAAATGATCTCTTTATTATAAACTAATTCACTAAGAAGTAGGTTTGAAGTTTTATTGAGCAATCCATTACGATAAAATAGGACTTTATGAACCTAGAGGTAATGAACACCTTACACTTTCTTGAATACACGAAAATTGGCTGATTCTACTGCTAATCAACACTAACTTGAAGTCAGTTATACTGTTAGTACAGGAGTAAAACTTGGGCATTGTACTGAGTTGTAATTCTATTTTAGTTACACACTGAAGGGACAGTATCATTTACTGGATAATATTTCGGAAATAATTTGTTGTTCATATCAGTAAGCCAACTCCATAACAAGGATAGTAGAATATCCCATATATCTGAGACAGGTCAAGAATCATTTCTATTACTGTGTTGATTCGATAAACAGAGATTCGGTTTGAAACAACTGGTCCCTTTAATAGATTTCGATAACGCTATTAGAAGACGAAGATTATCTGAAAAATGTGATGTATTTGTGCAATACATTTCGAACAATCTGATCACACATTTACTTGTCAAGTCAACTTATGCATGAAAATTAAAGGTCAAATATAGTGAATATGAAAAGGTTGTGACACTAGTCTTGGTAACATAATCAGATAAGGATTACCAAGGTAAATTAAGTGAAACAACAAACTGTTTTTGTACACACAGCAGGGGATTAAGTTTACGAATGGCTAACGCTTCGGCAAACTTCAGTATACGCCCCTGATTATTCCTGTATATTACCTTAAAAGCTGTTTTCGTATTAACCCTACGATTCATTTCAATAATATGTTTTGCTATGGATGACGATGGATGTCTGTCACCTGCACTTATCAAAGTTTGTGTGTTAAACTGTTTTTCTAGCCAATTTGGGTATGTGTTCACCCACCCTAGTCTGCATTGAACGATTACTCCTCCCGATGTATGTGTGCCCACACATACATGTAAATTGATAAAGGCAGCTGGATGTGATGTAATCATTTGTGCGAGGTTGAGGTTTGTGGTGAAGCAGGTGTTTTGTCGTCTCAACAATTATAAGCTGAGCTGCATAGTATGTTTTACTGATAACAGATTTTAATCTCTGCTTCAATATCATACTACTTGTTTCCCGTCTGTATGGTACTTTAAGAAATATGCTTTTCTTCGGGACCGAGGAAACTGTAGGCTTTGGGGTCAACTGCTTTTTACAATGGTTGACAAACTGTAATGGATAACCGTTTTCCACTAGAGTGTCTGTCAGAAACTTATTCTCATCATCCATCGTATCAGATGTACAAATACATTGGATTCTATTGAACAAGCATCTTACTAAGCCTCTCTTCGGTTATCAATCTGTCCATCCACTCAAGTTAGTTTTTAATACTGTGGCTTGATCCTATCCTATCGTATACAATTGTATGCATAGCTACATTCAAGCTTGTCTCTAATTTTTTAAATTCTTAGGATTTACTAATCTTGATTTAACCAAATTTTTATGCTCTATTATTCTACTAATTGACCCTAGTCAACTACTCTGATCAACATATTTCACTTCATAATCATTGCAAGGGATTTGGTAAACTAAATTATTTTACTTAATTGCATCAATAGGATCTTTTAACCTATTGAAAACTTAGCTGAATCAAGATTAGTAGATCTTAATAATATAAGGAGTTCAGAGGGTAACTTGGCTATTGCCATGGATGGAATTGTGCACAATTATACAATAAGGTGGGATCGAGCGACAGTATTAAAAGCTAACTTGAGTGGATGGAGTGATTAATAACCAAATCTTTGTTTATCGAATCAACAATAAATACATGAAGTAATATAAATGATTGCCGACCTGTCTCAGATATAGGGGATATTCTACTACCCCTTTGTCATCACAAAGAAGGAGAGAAAATTATGACTATATAAATTCCATCTCAAACATGAATAAACGGAGCGTATGAAAACTATCTTACTTGATATTTGTATAGGCTTTCTCAGTTCATCTAGTGATCGAATAATAATAGAACTATCAATACTCCCAGTAGCAAAATGACGACCATTTGGACTCCAACTAATACAAGTTATTCTAGCTGAGTGTTTTAGCCAACATTCAGAGGGAACAGATTCGAGAGTTGGTAGGTCATGTTGATTCCCGTCAAAATTGACCTTGAAAAAGGAAAACAGATCAGTGGGTACACAGTGTTAATCTTTAGTCATAAAAAATGAAGTATTATAAAAACATTAGGTCGTTACTAACCCCCTCCCCCTCCCCCATCTGTCACCTCTTCATGCAACCTCTGAATACATGTCCGTTGACAGCGAGCACCTATCTGTCACATCTTATGGTGAGGTTGTGACTATCAGGTTAATAACTGATTTATGGAACAAATTGTATAGTTATCGTAGATATCTCAAGAACCCTTTAATAATGAAGAAAGATATCTGGAGCCAAATTTTTTTATAATGTAACTCATACTACTGAGGCAGATTCTATGCATATGCAACTCACTATTTTAATTCATTCAATTTGTGGCATACTACTCAAGTCAGCTAGACAGATTCAATTAATGTAGAAGACTGGATTGATGAAGGTGATTCTTCCACAAAAGCGACACAATTATTTGGTGCATAGATCGCTCTGCTGTAGCTATCGAAATCTCCAGACCAGTCTGAATGATTTCTAGCTAGTTACTCATGTTGCTTAGTTGCATGTTTCGTTAGCACTACGATTGCATTTTAACTAATCGTACCTATGGATGAAATTGTGGAGCTATGACCCAGCCAGTGGGTCACGGGTTTGAACCCCCCCCCCCGCCCTACCTACCGACGTTCGAGCAGCTAGATAGTATCACTGACCCTTAACACTATAGATGTGGTTCATTGCATACTGCACGAACATGCACAAGGCAGCTAAGTGTGGAAGTCCTCCTAACGGGATTACACAAAGGAGAAATGACCAAAAATCCTTCCCAAAAACCGTTTTGAAATGGAAGCTAAATGATAGCGAATTTCTCCAAAGTGAAACTAATTCATCATTATTTTAAGCAACTCTAAAGCACATATTTATGTACGGTAACATACTTCACTTTTGAAATCTATTTATTGATCATGCCAGCCATGGAAAAGTGGGAGGAACCTAAAGAAGGCGACTAGCAGCTGATACCCTGAGGTGGTGATCAACTCTGACTGTTGTAATGACTCGGTCTTTATCTATGGTAGTGAGAACTTTTACTCCTAGAGGTTCTAGTATACCAGTGGGGAAAGCTCGGATAGTGTTAGTACTAAAATCAGTTACTGTACAGAGTAATCGTGGGTTATCATTGACGTTGAACTACACTGGACACTCATATGAAGTCAGTATTCCCAGTGATTCAGTATTTCAAGAAGAAAGTATTCTACGGAGTGAATGGCTGAGAAATATCGACTACGCGCACATACCGACAGCATCCGAACAACAAACCTTAAAGTTTTCTACTAAATTTCTCCCATCCACTTATCCCACAATTCGAAGACCAGGATATCAACACCTAAGGTCATCAAGATGCATTCTTGACTTGAAATCTCATTCTAAATTACGTGTTGGGACACTCAATCTCTATAATCTATTACAACGGACATCGGAAGTGTATCGAAAAAGTTGTAGAGATCTAAGGCTTGGGATATGAAGTTTATGAGATATGCATAAGTGGAGTTTCATACATGACCAATGTGTTGTATCTATACGAATCATCTCCGGAATATCTGAAAGTTCCACGGAGTGTTTTTACAAGCGTTGCATCAAGTTCTCGAACAAGTAATATGACAACGTTAAGTATTACTTTATTCAAGGTTCTCTATTCGAACACTGGTGGGCGTGTTAGAGCCTATAGTGACATGTCCAGGAAGATGCACTCCTCAAATGGTGTTTCGTGGTGCCATGACGTGAGTAATGCAGAAGTCAGGTGTAGAGTTTTAGGGGTGGAGAAGCCAGTTGACACGGTGTGGACCTTCATCGACTGAGATGGTTAGGTGGGATATGTGTTACGTATGCCTAGTCGCCGTCTGCCTCGTCACACAATGTCGGCCGAAGTAGGTTCAGGTTGGAAAAAGGCTCGAGGTGGCCAGACTAAAACATGGCACCAATGTATGATCAGCCTATGAATTGAGTTGTATGATGCAGGTTTGATTACTGACATCCGGGATATACTATGCTAACTCCAGGAGAATTGTTGGTAAAAAGTTTACGGTCGCCTGAATGATTCTCGGTTTCAATCTACCCAATCTTTGAAAGATGGTCAGAGTTGTGTATATGTATCTCACTCTGAAACAACCGAAATCGATAATTGGAGACTCAATGATTTAGTTCAAAAAGTGGTCGCATTGATTTCTTACCTTTTGTTTACATTGTAATATTATTTCCTTCTCATTTCGCCACTTCTACTCTGGCGTGTAGTATGGCAACTTGTATAGATACAAAAGTAAGGTAGACTTTAAGTCTACATTCCTTTCACAGTTATTCATACTTTAATCTAGGAACATTATAATGTGTCTAAACAACTGACAACATACCATCTATACTGTTGTACTATTTTCATCTCAAAATAATTAAAAAAAACTATTTTTATTTTGCATAATAGTGCTTGACTCATCTCTCCGGGTAGAATGAAACACCCTAAGAACTTTTCTATGTATTAACAGTAAAATCTAAGAAAATTCAGATGTTATGTAAATAAATTGTCAGGGCTACACAGGAAATGCATCATGTGAAGTTTAACACCGAAAAATTGGAATGTTTTTGATTGCCAACAGAAACCATATATCAGTTATTCATCGTAGTAGATAAATACAGAAACTTGAAAATAATGTACAAATTCATTCATTGGGCCACAGAATAAAATTTATTCTGGAAAAGGATTTCTGATAATGCTGAAAATTTACATCGCGACCGGATTCGCGCCAGTGACTACCGAGGTTTTCGGCCCAATGCTTTACCAACTGAGCTATGAGGTCGAAACCCAGCAGCCGCTGGTTCGAATCCCGCTGTAGTTCAAATATTCAATTCACCTTCAATCATTACATAGTATAAATACTGGTCTATCAAACTATGGCTATCTAAGACAGTTAAAATGATGATGCTTATAGGCTCAAAAACTTGTTAACTTAAATAGGATTCAAACTTACAACTCATCGAATGACATTCGTATTCAAACAAATGAGTCAAAGTTAATGCACAAAACTGTAAGTATATATCCTTCACTGTTCATTACATTAGTATTTGTATGTACCAATGAGAATTTAAAACAGAATAAACTGACGTTTCGCTACTGAATGCTGCTGGTAATAACTTTATCAATGTTAGTGTAAACAGGGATTTACAATATCCCCCAAACTTACATATGTTAACTTGACAAGTGTTTTTTTTCTTCATGAATGATTCTGCGTTGTCAGAATTGTAGAATAAAGATGATATTCATATGTAGTGTGTTGTGTATGAATTACAGATTGCCATTTGTATGTACCCATGTGTTGATAGTTCTTATCGCATGTATGTTGGTTATGTCAATGATGTGGACGTGGATTGAGACCAAGTCAAACTACTTTCTACTCCCTCATTCCTATTAGACAACTATGATTCCACTTAATGTGAAGAGATTCTCCTATGAGACGTTCTTTATAATTTCTAAAGCCTTTCTGCATAATTTCGATATTGTCAAAATCGATCTTGTGACCTGAAATTATAGCACATAGAGCTATGATTGACGTGTTTTCAGGTTTTTTCAGTTCCACTGGATTTCTCAGGGGTAGGATGGAAGCTCTTCGGTGTTCATTTCCCCTAATTTTGATTTCGTGGGAAGTTTATCCCATGCATATTGTAACACAGTCTAAGCATTTTGTTTTATAAAGACAACTAGATTGTGAATCTACAGGGATCTCGTCCTTCAAATGAATTAAGGTGCTCTGTAATGTGTTTGATATTCTGTGGGACACTGATATTCTACTTGTTGAACATTCTCATAATTTCATCCGATATGTATAATCTGTAAGGCATAACTTTTATTGAGACTCGTGATTTAGGAGTTGCTTTACGATCTAATTTATTGTTATTTTCTATTTTGCGAATGAATTTTATGGGATAATTATTCATTTTAGGTATCTTTTTCACATATTTTAGTCCCTTAACCCTTTAGTTTTCATCCATCACTAGAGTATGTGCTCTCCTTAAAGGACTGAAGGCAACAGAAACTTTCACATTAATTGGATATGATGAGTTGAAATCTAAATACTTGTTCCAATGTGTTGCTTTCGTGAAGATGGTTATACCTAAATGTCTATTTTCTTTCCGTTTAACAAGACAATCAAGGAAAGGCAGTTTCCCTCTTCTCATCCATTTCATTTTCTGAGCTGAACTTGGTACTCGAGTTCAGCTGATCTAAGAATGCCTGATATAAGTCACGTTTTAAAATTACGAATGTGTCATCAATATATCTCAGTCAAAATTTCGGCTTTAGTAAATGAGTGAAGACCCTTTCTTCGAATTTACTCATAAATAGGTTATCTACCATGAATGTAACAGGTGAACCCATAGCAACATCGTTAGGTTGCTGGCATAGTTTTGCTTCATATACGAAGTCAGCAGTCTCTAAGCAGAATTTTAGGGCATTGATGATGTTACTGGTATTTAGTGGACAGCATTCTGTCAATGATGTTTCTGAGTGTAATAAATTAGGAATAATATCTAGACTATTATTAATTAGAACACTGGCATAATAAGCAGTTGATGTCATAGCTTGTCATTATTTCATCTTCCTCAATGTTAGGTAAAGAAATTTTGGATTGAAAATCAAGTGAGTCCCTTACTGTGTATTCTGAGTGGTTTTGTAGGGGTTTAAGTATCGAAGCCAGATATTTGGAGGGATTGTATGTTGGTGTGTTGGTCTCATTTGAACGGAAGGCTTGTGAATCTTGGGTAGACCGTGGACTCTGGAAGGATACGCATGACTTAAGTATTGAGCTCGAAGTAAATTGAGCTGGTGATGTTGGATTTAAGTTCTTGTAGTAGTCTATTCGTGTTCACTTTCAGTTTGTTCAGTTCAGCGGACTTTTTCATCAATTGAAGTGTATGGTCCTGCAGATGAATGTTCACTTGCTTTCTCGTCATAATCTGTTCTCTTTTGTTATGACAATTTTCTTGTCTTTCATCAATTTTTTCAAAGCCTGTAATTCGCACACAGAACACACTACATATGGATGACATCTTTATTCTACAATTCTGACAACGCAGAATCATTCATGCAGAACAAAAACACTTGTCAATTTATCATATTTAAATAAGCTTAGGGGATATTGTTAACTCCAGTTTGCTATAACTTTAATAAAGCTATTACCAGCAGCATTCAATAGTAAAACGTCAGTTGAAACGAATTTATTTTGGTTTAGATTCTCATTAGGAAATACAAATTCAAAGATAATGAATATTATTTATCCAATGCGAGTGAATTTCACATATTTTAGTCCCTTAACCCGTTACTAGAGTATGTGCTCTCCTTAAAAGACTGAAGGCAATAGAAACTTTCACATTAATTGGATGTGATGAGTTGAAATCTAAATACTTGTTCCAATGTGTTGCTTTCGTGAAGATGGTTATACCTAAATGTCTATTTTCTTTCCGTTTAACAAGACAATCAAGGAAAGGTAGTTTCCCTTTTCTCATCCATTTCATTTTCTGAGCTGAACTTGGTACTCGAGTTCAGCTGATCTAAGAATGCCTGATATAAGTCACGTTTTAAAATTACGAATGTGTCATCAATATATCTCAGTCAATTTTTTAGCTCCATTGGGAGATACAAATACCAAAATAATGAATAGTATCATTTACTCAATGCCCAAATTTTTTTCAAACTTGGTTAGAATATCCTTCACTGTGTTCATTACAAGTTAAGCATCCTTCTCATAGATAAAATAAGGAAGGTATATCTATCCTGATGATTTGTACAGATTTATATTAGTTAATTGTGAATTATACATGAAAACAATAACATTATCTTCTTAAACACAAATATTAACAAATACTACTTACAGAGAATAAATTCACTGAAAGATCAGGTTTTGCAATAGCCAATATTTTACCATTCGGTGAAAAATCAACCACTACCGGATTTTCTTGGATAGCATTAACAAGATTTAATCGCTTCAATTTTTGATTCGATATATAGAAGGATAAACTGCCTTGATTCTATTTTGTTTCGAAAAAAAATATAAAATTAGATAGAAAATTCAATAATTGTACAGAGTACACTGGTTCAAGTTATCAGATGTTGTTAGAGAATGAAAAGAAAAGAATGTTGAAAGGGAAAGTAGCCAACTTTATTGCATACAACCACCTTTATACGCAAAGTAGCCAACAAACTTAAGTATTTGACCTGTTTAACAGTCAACATGCTTTTCATTGTCATAGTCAATACGAAATTCAGAGTGTGTACGGCGCATATATATATATATATATAAATATATATGTATATATATATATATATATATATATATATATATATATATATATATATATATATATATATATATATATATATAAACACTCCAAATTTGTACTTTGTCAACATCTACCTCGAACAGAGAATTTCTATTCCCTTTTGGATACGAATATTTGACTATAACCATACACCACTACTACTACTACTACTACACTCCGACTAAAGTCTATGGGTTTTAAACGAATACCATTAAAATATTATTATGGAAGATATTTAAATGTGACGGAACACGGTTAGCTGGTTTTCGTAAATAGCCAGTTGTTAGAATTCGACAAATTTTAATGCATAGGTATTTGAATACAAGGGGAATAAAGAAAAGCCAGATTTCGACTGTTACAAGTGTTCTATTCATCGCTTTCATCAAATGTAGCTTCGTTCCCCAAGTCTAAGACAAGTAATAGCCAAATCATCCACTGCTGAACAATTAATGAAAGTGATGTAGTAGACAGAAAGACAGTCTTACATAGACTGATAAGATGTTATTAGTTGTCAGGCAGACAGGAATCCCAGAAGAACCTCGCACACAAATGTATTTGATTGAGGTAGCCACACTTCATAGTAGTATACAAAGAACAAATGAGTAGAAAATGACTGATATCAGAGTAGATAAAGTTGTGTAAGACAATAAACAGTTTGAAGATAGAGGTTAGTGTGAATATTCAAGCTTTAGACGTCAATGACTGAATACACCTGCGCCACTGCAACCGATTTTCAGCCATCTCACTAAGAGTTCTCAACCACTGAATCCTTTCGTCTCAGAGACCCCAACCAAGCAGTCTACATTCTCTGTCACATGATTCAGACCAACAGCAAGACACTTTATCGACTGGTGCCATGTCTTGTTTTGACCAGCCTAATCCGACTTGACTGTATAGCCTCTTACCCTTCACCTAACCTCCATATTGCTTACATGGTGATTCCAGCTTATACGAGGAATGAAAAGATACTTTTAATGGACATGCCTCACAACAGTATAACAGGATGGAACGGACAGCAGCAAAGCATACTCATCTCTAAATAGACATTCGGATACCCTTTCAGCAACAGTGATGACATCACTTGGCAAGCGCTAAAGGCTTTCTGCATCCCAGATGAGATTTCTTCAGCAACCAAGTCATTTCAGCTGATGCAACTCCCCAAGTAAATGAAGTGATCAACACGTTCAGCCACTTCACTCCATATCCTTACACTAAGAGTAGGTTTAGGCCAGTTTTGAAGCATCATCTTAAATTTGACAGGTGCGGAATGCAAGCCAAATATACTCAGATTTCTTCTTAACGCGTTCAAAAGACCTTGCATTTATTTTGCTAGTCTTCATCCAGCAGGAGAATATCGTCCACATACTCAACCAGGTGGCCTACATGGAATAGATAGATTGATCCCTGGGAGGTCAGACGTAACTAAGGTTACGTCCATTAGTATGTCTATGAGAAAGTTCAATAGGAACGGTGCCAGTGATCATTTCTGGCGGACACCACTAGTTGTCGTCAATTCTAATGACAACTCTCCATAAGCCCTTACACACCTGCGTGAGTTCGAGTAGACAGTTTTGATTAGCGCTACTCCTTTCACATTTGGACACTGCCATAGTGAAGTGCTTACCTCAAGGTTCAGAGAGTCAAATACTGCCTTCAGATCAACAAATATGGCAAGTATCGACCGCCGCTAAGCATGCCTGGGTGAAAATCTGATCGACGCACCCTCTTCCACATCTAAAACCCGCATGGGTTTTTCCAAGCATCGAATAACTATTGACCAAAGGATCCTGGACACGATGTTAGTTAAACTGATCCTCCTATGGTTAACATGCATAGGCTTCACTGACGCCTGTTTTATGCTGTCAATAATTCGCAGATATGCACGACCCCGTACTATAGCATGATCAGAGTCCAGGCAGGTATTCGGAAAATAATAGCGATCCTCCAACGATGGCTCATAGCAATATGGTTTATCCGTATCTATCGTTAGTTTAATGTCGTCTGACGCCATGTGAGAGTCTCTCGTCTCTCCTTACGTCTTAAATTACTGCTGGCTAGAAATAAGTTATTGTCAGGACAAAATTGTCACACATTAGCACCGTTGTCGATCCATCGGTATGGAATTCCATAGATACCTCCTAGATGCCTCTCTGTTTGCCTCGATTCTCCTACTTGAGCTCTAAAGTCACCTGCCATTATGACTACATCTAGACATTTTGCTTTCCGTAGCAAAGTTGACAGCTTCTCATAGAACTCATCCTTTGCATCATTCGAACTACAGTCGGTAGGTACGTAGGCAGAGATTACGAAAAGATATCGCCTAGTCTCACGATCCTTTCTAGTCCTTACAGATCAATTCAGTCGAACAGCACATAGACGGATACTTACTAGAACCCAGTCGAAGGGGCACATTCTCTGCTCTACAACTAAATCCTATGTCTGTACCGGCGAGTCGACGAGAGCTATCCACTGGGTTTCCGGATGCTCTTCAGGTGAATTTTGAAGATTCACTACAATGGCCAGGTGGGGTCAATTTAGTAACTACACTCGAGCCTTGTATACGTCTCTCAGAGACACAACGTTCATACATGGCTAGATATTTCAGAATTTTGGTGAGCGATGCTTGTTGCCCGATTTGGCATAGAGTTCGGACGTTGAAAACTTCAACATGAAACCAATACCTGGGTGTTTTAGGAAGCTAGTATTCGTGTTACCATTGCTTGGATAGTTGGCAATAGCAGCAGACTGGAATTTTGAAGAAATTGTAAGAGGCCTATTGTTGTTATCAGGAGGTGAAGGCAAAGGCGCAGACTGAGGTAAGGAGGATAAGTTATGCTTGATTTGATCTTGCATGCTACTGGAAGCGGTTGACACTTACTGGAGATCCACACCGTTGGAGAATAGTCCTTCGTAAAGTACCTGAAAAAGAAAGGTCAGTGTGTGACCACAGAGCCTAGGGGACATCTGCTTGAGGCCGTTCACACATCTAGCCTTTTCGTAAGTATGAGATTTTAGTTTGTTACTTTTGGATCCAACTACAAACCTAGGTCGCCGGCATCCGTACGCCACGGGGTTGTGTACTATTTACCTTTACCAACCTCTCTTCTAATACGGAAGGCGGCATCAGCGTGGCACTGCTGGTCATCCAAGGGAAACACCATACCGATGTCACCATCTAGCCAACAGTATGACTTAGCCCAGAGACCCCCATCACAGCGTAGCCATTTACACTACAACGGAATATAGTTAGAAACAATTTTTTTCTACATTTACTTGGCAAATCACATTTAAGTTTATACTCTGCACACACACACTATGCATTTAAATACCCAAGGGGATTGTACTAACTGTCTTTCGGAAATACCTTATTTTCTTTGTAGCGGATAATGAAAGCTAGGAGCTATGATCAACAGCTCCTGAGTTGTAGGATCTGATCTATGTGAGTGGAAAGCTTTTCTTCTTATCAAGAGAAACAGTTTTCACAGTCTCATTCACTACCCTACCCTGGGCCTAGGTTACCATTTTGACTGCATGATTCTTACGCCTAGCTCTGTCTTATTTTTATGTTTATTCTATTTCATACTGGGTGATGATTGACGATGAAATGAAATTCTCGACCGCGGTGCAATTCAAACCAGTGACCACCAAGTTTCCAGTCCGGTGCTTTACCAGATAACCTATGATACCCATGAGCAACGGATTGGGAACCCGGCGGTCGCTGGTTCGAATCCCGCCACAGCCCGGATTTTCATTTCACCTTCAATTATCATCCAGCATAAATTTGTTAGTGTCTACCTCAACCTATGAGTTAATATGACTGTACAGCTTTTAAAAATGAAATCATCACAAAGAGAAGTTTTCTTCGCTGAAATCTTTGTTGCTTGTATTGTCAAGGTATCCCCACACAAGAGCCTATATTTCAACAGAGACCGATCAATCTAGTCTAATCAACAACGAGATCATACAAGCAACAAAGTGAAAACCTGTAGCCATTACACGAAAAGTGGTTATCATGATTCAGTGGTCTAGTGGATAAAGCGCTTTAGCATTTTAAGCCATTGGTCTCAGGCTCCAGTCCTAGTGAGGACAATATCAATCATTAGGAGAGAGATACATCCAAAGCACACGTTCTAAATAGGATGGAATGCGCATCAAGATATGTTTCGTTTTAATTCTTTACTCTTATCTAACTTGTTCACGAATCGATTACACACAGAGTGTTATGGACAGTAAAAACGAACAAACAAACAAACAACACATTTTCAATGAAAAGGTGTCATTTCAAAACAAAACGAAAAAACAAACAAACAAACACTACAAGCAAAAACCCCTCTAAAAATTAAAACAATTCTCAATCTTCTAAATTCAAATATACGAACGGTATACATCATCATAGATACTATACTTTATATTTCGCTAAACAAAATTTTAAAAAATAACAACTTCACAGTATTAATTTGAAAATTTTAGAAATACTACATACACGTAGGAGTGAAAAAAATTGTGTAACTGATTTGATGTTTATCAGAGCTAAATAGCACTGCTTATAATCAGTATAATATTACATTGTTACACTCTAATCGATCGATACAGGTGTAGAACTATTCACTACAAGGTATATAATAAATTTTCAACCAATAAACACGCGATGTACATATATGGACAATTTCAGTAGATTAGAAATAGTCATAAAAGGTAATGCATCCAACAAGTCATGTTTTATAGTATTTTTTTTTAGTGTAGAAAAACTGGAAAAATGTTATTATTTCAAGTTGGTATACATCATGGACTGACATCAATTGGAGGAATATTCTAAGCTTCGGGAGCATTGGACAATTGTCTTATCCTAACAGTGGGCACCAATGACCCTATCCCACCAAGGGGTTGAAACCATGACCTTCGGGTTTTCCAGCCACCATGTTACCATTGAGCCACTGGGTTGGAATCTAATCGTCGATATTTCCAACTTTTGTCAGTTCATGACAACGCACCAATATCATCGTTGAATATTTGCCCTTACGGCCAATAGGTTTCCTTTACCGGCCACAACTTCTCGTTGGGACTTCAGGAATCACCTCTCGAAGTTAGTTACCAATAAGCACCAGAACAATATTATTAATATTTCTACTATCCAGTACAAATTCTTTCAACCTATCAGAATCAACCACTGATATCAACATAGGATCAGGTATTACTGCTCAACTGCCTAACTTGCTACACCTCATATTAGAACATCAAGCAATGCAGAAGAATCCAGTGGAGAGCAGTGGTAATAAAGGGGAAGGAGGAGAGACAAAAACTAAATTTATTTTGACAATCAAGATGATGTGTGGACGTATCTGTGCCGCTAACATCGATTCTTAGCTGCTGTATCACCTTAAGTCTCCAACCATTGGTCCCACTTGTCATGTGAATCTCAACCGGGTTAGCTTGCATCTCACAACATGGCTCAAACGAAGATTCAAAGACTTCATGCAGTGATGCTATGTTTTAGTCTGGCCACCTCAAGCCTTTTTCCAGCCTGAACCTACTTCAGCGAACATTGTGTGGCGAGATAGGCCGAGACTAGGCAAACGTAACACATGTCTCACCCAACCATCTCAGTCGATGAAGGTTCACAACCGTGTCAACTGATTTACCTTTCCTCTACCCCTAAAACTCTACACCTGACTTCTGTGTTACTCATGTGGTGACACCACGAAACACGGCTTATATTACGAAGGCAATACTGGTCAAACAACTGAAGCCTTCTCATATCTTCCACCTTCACAGCCATACAGTAGAAGAGGGCGAACTGCTGTGCAGGTGCAGTACACGCCACCCTTAATAGACAATCGGGTATCACGACAGTGCCACAGGTGGCGTAAGTTTGCAAAAGCCAGCCCAGCCTTTTGTATTCGTGCAGAGATTTCATCGACCACTGAGCAGCCACCAGGGCTGATCCTACTTTACTTCCTAGTTGAGTGAAGCGGTCGACACACTGAACGACTACACTCACTCTCTGTTGTTAGCCGAGGCACCGTTGAAGACCAATCCTGGAGCAACAATTTGCATTTAGGTAGTGAGAAACGCATCCCAAACATTCTCAAATTCCCACTCAGTGTGTTCAGAAGACTCTGCATCTTGTCACTCTGAGTCTTCACCTAACTGAGCTATATGATCTGCGCATTCTAGGTGTAACGAAAATTCTACCGCGATTAGGTCAACCTCTGTGTAGTCAAGTGACGAGAGGGAGACCTGCATAAAAATATCTATGATAAAATTGAATAAGAATGGAGAGAGTTGGCACCCTTGACGAACACCACTCGACTGGTGCATCTCCCTAGACATGTCAGCATAGGCTCCAACGCGCCCACCAGTGTTCGAGCAGAGAGCCTTCAATAAAGTGATGTACTTACTAGGCATACCTTTGAGTGAGAGACACTGCCATAAGACTTCTCGACCAATGGAGTCGGATACCACCTTTAGATCGAGAAAGACAACTATTCTCGGGTGTCGGTAAGCGTGCCTGTGTTCAAGAACGTCGCGCAGTGTGAACATTTGGTCGATACACCCGCGGTTAGGTCTAAAGCCTGCCTGGTTTTCGCAGGCTTGCTGTTCCACTAAGGCGTCGAAGAATTATAGAACCTAGAATTTTAAATACTTTATTCATCAGGCTGATTCCTCTGTAGTTATCACAAGAGGACTTCTTGCCTTCCTTGAAGACTGGTATAATCAGTAATTTAGACCAGTCAGAGGGGATCATATTTGATTCCCATATACTAGTTAACACTTCCGTTAACCTGACTAAGAGCACGTTACCACCATCCTTGTATACCTCAGGAGTTATATCATGAGGACTGAGGATTAAGTAACAGTCCGAAAGATTGGTACTGTTAAGTAGAGAGAGAAAGATGAATAACTATCGAAATTCTGTGTGACAGTCGAAAATGCTGAGAATGTTGTTTGCCTTATATATACAGAGTTGAATCGTTCGACCACCGTTCGATTTTGTATAGTAACAGGGAATTGAAAATATCAAACACCTAATACCAGTTGCACAAGAAGGACCTGTCACGCCCCTGGTGGATAACATTTTGGCGTTTAAAGCTATCCGTATCGAGCTCAAGTCTCAGTGGAAACGACAATTCATTGGGGTGCAAATATATCCAGCTGACAAGTCTCATATGCAACGAAACACATATCCTGGATTCCATTACTAGTCTCTAAGATAAATACAATGTTTCATTTGCTAGAAATGATCACTTTTATGAACTAATAGTTTACATTTTAGTAAAAATAACACTAACCTGTGATCCAATAACAACCAATGACAATTCTTTTGAAAGGCTCATTGTACATATACCTAGTGAAATATCCACCTGATCTAAGATCACTAGTGAATTGTTTCGAAGTTCTAGTAAAACAACATGTTCAGTACAAGAAATAATGATTAATGGATGCGTTAATTCCATAGACTTTACACAACGTGGTTGAGAAGGCAACTTTATAGATGTTCTATAGTTGAATAAAGAGAGAAATGAACAAAATCACGCTTACTTCAAGTAGTTAACAGCTACACAATATTGACTTGAATAATACAATAATAAAAGGAATATAATATTATTTATTAAGCCGATCTGTGTGAAGCACTTTTTGTTACAAAATCATGAAAAATACCAAATAATAATAATAATAGTAATGGTTTTATTCTGAAAGATATTCCGTGAATACTATGCAGAATTTTCACCATGTCATAAGGATATTCACCCTACATACAACTTTCTTAGAAATTCAGAGTTAACTTTGGTAAACAGTTACATTATCAATTATATCCATAATACATTAGTTTACTTTTTTTTAAACAGAAGCTGATTGGTGAACTTATTCATAACATTTTCTTCGTCGCACAGGATACGAGTTAAATAAGGTAAGGTAGAGATTTTAAGCTTTTATTAATACGAGAATAAAGTCTTATGTGCTTGCTCCTCATCTTACCTAACGACTGACATGTAGAGAGATTTGAGAGAAGAGGATGCTAGTCATCTGATAAGATAACTCCTTCCAGGTGTTTATATGAGTTAATATACTTATCCACAGCTGTTTTAACTAGAAGGTTTAGAGGTGCACCACTAGTTCTGCTGACAATCTTTAAGCCTCTATGCAATATAGCATAGTCTTTTTTTCAACAACCCAGGAAAGGATAAACAGGAACAACAGCGGAGAATAAGCAAGATCTGAGAGCTTATAAAACACAAGAGAGGATGCTGAGCTATCCCAGTTACTCTCAGCTTCCTAATATAGTAAGTTAGGAAGAAGATCCTTTTGCAAATCAGTTAGATATGGAAGGACCAGGATAGGTTCGAAGAAAACACAAGCTGAGATAAATCACACATGTAACATCGTTTAATACACAGTCATCAATATACGGGAATCATGAAACTGAAGCAGATAACATACGTTATGTTCACCTCTGAAATTAAACTTTATACTCTGAGATTTTGGAGAATTAAGCAAAAGACCATACATGGAGGAACACATTGTACAATAGTAGATAAGAAATTTTTGATTTCGAAACAATCTGATGAAGAGGAGGCAAGTGTGGAAACTGTCAGGTTATTAGCATATTTGACAAAACTGATACTAGCTGAAGATGGTAAGTCATACAGAAAGAAAGAGAAAAGATCAAGGGAAAAGACGGCATCTTGAGGAACACCATCCTCAGTGTTGGAGCGCTTTCTTCTGTGAACAGGATATTGTTTGGCTTTAGAGAAATAAGAATGCAGCTAGTTGATTATCCAAGAATCAGTATGTGTCCTGGCTACCTTATCCAGCAAAAGGGATCTTGAGACAGAATCAAATGCCGAAGTATAGTCTAAAAAGGTACACTAATGTAAGAGAAAAACTTGGGAACTATGGTAGAGTATAATTCAATATTAGCCTGTTTATTTGAATGATATAGCGTACATAGTGACACGGCATAGTTTACTGGATGACATTTCGAGAACAATCTATTGCTCATATTCATATCAAAGTAATTACTCGACTTTTAAACTTTCTTTATATAATTCAACAATTCTTCATTCTTTTATCTTGAAGGTAGTGGGAAATTTTCCAACCAAGCTATATTGGATTTTAGAATCGTCACCCTATTCCACCCTATAGTATGACTGTGGGTCACTACATGCAGAGCGATAGCTGAGCTTTTCTCTAAATTACTTGGTAGGGTCTATCACGGTATGTTTCGAGAAACTTTTGTGTTCTGCTATTTTAACTGATCTAAATCGGTTGCTTTGACCTATATACCTGATCTCATAATCATTACACATTATTTGATGGATTAGATTAGCCTACAAAGTTTCTCTCTAAGCGAGTATGTTGATTTAAAAAGGCATACCTTACATACTTGGCTTTTCTATCGAGATTATAAGCAATATTGTTATATAAGACAGTGGTGACAACCAGAGCGCTTCTTTTGTTTGTGAATACAAATTGAGTAGGACCTCCAAAAACCTTCAATGAAGGTTCAAGTACAGGTAGGGTTAGGGTAAAGAACAGTCGGATGGAATTTCAAACATGAGCCTGTATCTTATGCGCACTCGTGAACATGTGCCATCTTGGTTAAGGAAAAAAATGATAAAGAGTCTCAATAGTGCAATCCCCTTACATCTAGAAGATACCGGACATCAGATCAAGGTAGATTATGCCTTTTCTGTGATATACCGTGTCCTTTGCAATCTCTCTAAAGGTGCATGACTTTGCATCTTATTCATAGCCGAAGCCATAGGGATCAACGCAAGAAAACTTGATATATGTGTTCAAAATAAACACACACATATTCATGCCCCAATAAATGAATCATTATGTGTAGATTTTATCTCCTCATTTCGTAATTATTCCGTCAATAGTGATTTCATTGCACGACTAACACACACTAGACTAATAACAATTCCATCATCCGATTCAATCTTCATTCGCCTGTTTCAATATAGTAATTGATTGTACATCATACCTTATTTTGGTGATTGTATTTCACTTATTCTCAGAGTTTATAACTGTAGAGCCTGAAGAAGAAGAAGAAGTTATTGAAAATAATATTGTTTGCTCAAATTATTCTTGTTCTGAATAATCTATGGGGATCTTTATATTTCTATCGTTAAACTTTGATGCTCATCTAGTCTGGCTTTCAATAATCTTGATGTTTGTTTCACACAGCTAACTGGGAAGTCTGTATATGGTATTTTATACACCCCATTATTCTTGTCCAGATTTTTTTTTCCACCAGATCTTTCAGTTGGTTCAATTTATTTTAAAAAATTAGATTAACTGGTTTAAATGCTATGAAAATACCAGCCTTTGTAAGGTTTCTTCTAATTCCCTTCAATGTGCCCTTTTTGTATGGTAATTCCTGTAGTTATCTTTCTTGATATCTGTTTCTTCTTCTTGATGTTTTCTTTGATTATCAATTGTACTGGGAAGCGATTCTTCAATAACATCTTTTTTTGGTCATCAGGGTGTTGTTAATCTACGTAGTCTGTCCGCCAGACCCTGTATTAAACCTCGTTTCACTGTGGTTGGGTAGACTGAGTGGTAATTCAGAAACCTTCTAGAATGCATTGCCTTTCCATATGCTTTTCCATCTACTATTCATTTGATTTTACACTTCAGTATTAGCAGTTCCCCTAATTCATTCTCTATTTCCATAGAGAATTTCATTGAATCCACCTAACTGTTTTTATATGAGTGGGATCCTACAACATTCTTCTGATTTATTATGACTAGAGTATCATCAACATATCTCCATCAAACTTTAATCGAAGACATGAATGGTTTTAGAGCATTATTTTCCCAAAAATTCATAAATATATTCACCATTATTGGTGAGATAGGTGATACCATTGCTACGCCTTCTTTTTGTTGGTAAAACTTCCCATCAAATGTGAAGAATCTCGTTGTTAAGCAGAGTTCTACTCCTATTGAGAGTTGTATTCTTCCTCTTCCTTCGTCTTTTCCTAGTCTTCTCTTTAGGACATTCATAACCATTTCTATTGGTGGAAACCCTATCGATGTCAAAACTAAGTAATATTGATTGAGATGAACGGGGATTTTTAATTTAGAGGTAGTATTGATCATGGATTGGCATTAGTTGGGGAACCATTGAAAATCTGGAAGCACTGAACAGCTGTTTCGTCCTAGTATGGGACTCCTAGGCAGTACGCACCCACAACAAGGCTAGGTATCGAACTCAGGATCTGATGTCAGTCTGTGATGAATACTAATTCTAAATTAAAAATTCTCGCTCATCTCAAAAATACACTAATTTATAGTGCTCATTAGTGATATGCTTCTAGATGGATATCACCAAGTTCTAGTGAGAAGCCGTGACTTGTGGGGTCAACCAATCGGAATTGAAGCAGATGCCAACTGAAGACCTTGAGTGATAGTTGCGCTATATCATGAATTGACAGGAGTTGGGAACTTTGAACCACTGTAAACCAACCCAGTGACTGAATGATCACCGCGTTCACCATAAAATCTGAAGGTCCTGAGTTCGATCCCTAGCCGGGCCGTGGGTACGTACTGCTGAGGAGTCCCATTCTAGGATGGAACAGCTGTCCAGTGCTCCCAAATTTTCAATAATACGCCAACTGTGTCAGTCCGTGATATTTATTTAGCATTGATTCTAGTGTCTCTAAGTCGTTTCACTACATCGAATGAGTCTACTAACCTGGTTTGTAAATCGTTTCTCATTGGTTGAAATATATGAGTAAGGAAACTTGATAGCTTATACGTAGGAGTTTTCCTGAAGTTCACTATCGGTCTAATTGGATAACTTTACCGCACCACCTATATATATATATATATATATATATATATATATATATATATATATATATATATATATATAAAGTATAATTATGCGGGTTTTAACGCAGAAAAAAACAAAGAGCAGTGTATTATCACTGCTTAAAGTAACTACACATTCCATGCAAAGTTCACATTTCATTGATCAGGGTTAAAAGTAAACAAAAATATTTTGTCACTAACACCACAATAATTAATGATACATAGGAGACGATACAAGGCATAAAAGACTGACAAATAGAATGGAAATCACAAGATTTTTTTAAGCCTTATGAAACATGCTGCTATTATATTGTAGTCTATTGGGTGGTTAGCAGTGGGATCTAGGACGTTTCGCTATTCCTTTTCTAAGTCTTCATAATGGTTGCTTCATTGTTTTGTATGGCACATCTCTCGGTGGCCATGTTTTATTGAATTTGTATCCCGATAATATATAATAATATGGTTATTAGTCTAATAATGAAACAAAATTAACTGGACCGATCAATTTATGTTTCAACAATATCCCCCTAGAAGGATTATTCTATAAAACTAACGGAAGTTAGAGGAATAGCACATGAATGCTTAAAAATGATCTCACTAGGTCAAACTTTTAATATATAATAATACTGAGATACAAATGAAAACAGAATTTATACACGTGTTGTGGATTGAAAGCAGTATAAATTGGTCGTTGGAAGTGTTACGTAATACAACTCGTAATTCCTTGGAAAGGTATCACTTTTCACTTCTAGTAGTTCAACTACTAAAATTCTGAATATCAATATGGCTAGGTTGTGTGCGTATTGTCTAAATTGTTTTGATCAACACCACTTTTTTGTTGGTCTTAGCCGTTTGAAAGTGAGATATTATTATTATTATCCCTTGGGTTCCCAGTGGGATATAGGGCTTCAGTAGCACGTCGCCACTCCACTCTCTTCTCTGCAATCTTTTGAACCTCGCTCCACGATAGCCCACAAGCTCTCATTTCTTTCTTACACCATCTCCTACATGTCACCCTCGCCTCAGACGCCCAACTCGCCGTTTAACATTTGGGTTCCACTCGAATGCCTGGCCTGTCGCGTGATGTCCCCGAATCGTCTTCTCAGTGCATGCCTAATCCATCTCCACTTCCTTCTGCATATTTGTTGGGTGGGAGGTTCTTGGTTGGTTCGTCAACAGCCAGAGTTCCATGTTGCTTATTCTTATTATTCTGGCTTCAGTAACGAGCCAGCGTAGGCAGTTGTTGATGAATGTCTGTAGTTTGTTGGAAATACCTTTCGTTACGCCCCAAGTTTCTGAACTATATGACTTGACTGGATTGTAGTTGAAAATCCGGATACTGTTCCACATGCTGAGTGCAGATCTCCACATTGGTTTCAGGTTAATGAACGCGTCTCGCTTTTCCGATCCTGGCTGCTCTGAAATTATCGTCTATGCCGCCTGTAGTTGAAACAGTGCTGCCTAGATGGGTGAAAGAGGCTGCTTCCTTTAAGTTTCTCTCACTGATGGTGATTGGAGCTTGTTGTTGTTGGTGGTGGTGTTGGTTGGGTATCTTCATCACCTCTGTCTTCTATACGTTAACTTGGAGTCCCGTCTCCCTTCGCTGTCCTGCCTCTTCTGTCAACTTGTTGGATTTTACTTGTAGATCTTCGAGTTTGTGTGACATTAGACACAAGTCATGACTGGTGAAATCCAAATCTTCTAGGTTCTTTTCCCCGGTCCAGCGTATCCCCCTCTTCTCGCTCCTCACTGTTTGCTGCATGGTCCAGTCCACTACAGTCAGGAAGATCATGGGTGATAGTAGACAGCCTTGTTTTATTCCTGCCTCTACTTCAAAGGCATCACTGAGCTTTCATTGTGAATTCCATTGTGAATTACTTGGTTTGTGGCGTCTTCGTATAGTTGTTGAATGAGGTTGAGAAACTGAGATATACTGAATAACTATACATTCACACGACTTTACGCCATTACAGCTAGTCAATCAGTTACATTATAGTTTAAAAAGAATATTAAAAAACAATGTAAAAGTAGAGATAAAAGAAACACTAACTTACAAATGATTCATTTCTCTTATCGAACTGACAACGCATCGATCATCGATACCTACAGTAATTACATATTTTTCCAATAGTGATATCGATTGAACTTGTGAAGTGTGTGCTTCAGAACCAGAAAACATTTCAGCTAAACCAGTTTTTAAATTCCAACTAGCCATTGATCCATCAGAACTTGCAGTAATCAAACGGTTATGTGTTGTACTATACTCAGCACAGGTAATATGAAGTTTATGCCCATGTATTGAAAGTACAGGTGGACTAAGTGATTTTGAGTCAGGTGGGACATCAAATATGTGAATGGAACCGCTTAAAGATACAGTAGCAACTTTTCTGCCTACCCATGTACATCCCAGCTGAAAAATAACATCAAATATATACATATAAATATGGTGAATCTAAACCGCTAGTCATCAATAGACAATAGTGCATAAAAAGCGTTTAGTGGAATATCCATACCTTAAGTCTACTTAGACACCTTTAAAATATATCATGAATGGAGTGAATTGTGATTCTGTTTTACCTAAACTGACTCAACAAGGTGATTGGTAAGGTTAACAGTAGAAGCTTCTAAATAGATTTTAATTTCTGGAGCGTATGATAAAAAAAAAGTGCACAGATCGACGGGTGCCAATGTGTGATAAGGTGTACAATGCGGATAGTAGCTCCTAAAATGCATACGATGTAGATTTTCTATAGCCAGTAACTAAGTGGATTATGTAATGCTGCTTGAAGAGATGGTCGTTCGGTACAAATCTCACTGAGTTAAGTTCACATATATCTATCATACAAGTATTAATAAAGAAGTAATAGGATTCTTGAATCCCACTGGTAGCTACTATCATACAACTAACATGAGAAAACAAAATACAAAGTTATTACAACCTAGTTGTAAACAATCATTCTTTCATTACCGATGTGTCATGTACCATATTATCATACTCCATTACACACTCATTGAACAAAAAGACAAATGATGCATTTGCCTAAGACAGACAAAATTAACGTAGAACCTCACACATACAAGTGCATCACTTCAAGCTATCACATATTACAGTACTACACAAAGAACAATTGGATAGAAAAAGACTGATGTCATAATACACAGTGTTGTGTGACAATAGACCATTTGAAGATTAAGGAAAACAGTCAGGCTTTAGACGTCAAGGAGTGAGTACATCTGGGCCACTGTGGTCGATTTTTAGCTATGTCACCAAGAGTTCGCCTCAACCACTGATTCCTATCATCTCACGGACCCCAGCCAGATAGTCTACACCTTCCTAAACGGCTAAGACCAACAGCGAGAGACTTCGCCGACTGATGCCATATTATGGTCTCGCCACCCTGAACCCTCTTCCAATCTAACCTAACTTTCTCTAGCATGGCAGTAGAGGTAGGCGGTGGCTTGTCATCCGTAGCACACATCTAAGCCATCTCAGAGGATGAAGGTTCACAACCTCATCAATCAGCTTGCTTGTCTTTGATTTGTCTAAACTGAAATAACACATAGTCACTATAAAAGGAAGAGCCAGAGAGATTACTAGGGTACTTATAACAAATTCACTAAGGAACTGTAAACTTATCTTTTTAAACCTACACTCTTCCAAACGGCATAGGCCTATAACTTAGCTGGTTTCAATTTTCAGTCAAGTCAATGTGAAACATTCAATATGATAAGACAGGTCAATGTAGAACCTAACATAGAGGTAAATTAGCTCAATTTGCCTCACTTAAAATTATCGGGCAAACAAAAAAGTGAACGAGTATCCATACATGTAGTGACCTACTACAAAAAACATTATTTTTGTATCTTATATAATGTGAGTGCATCGCTTTAACAATAAATCAATCAATTTGCCCGCTTAAGCTTAATGCCCGCAACAGCATTATTTTTCAATGAACTTATCTTCAAAAGCACTGGTTATTACAAGTCCCCACTGTATTTGCCTTGCCTTAATTATGGACCTACAAACCAAGACCGCAAAGCTACGACATACAACAATTTTGTCTTGTCTTCAGATCCTAATGAACAATTGAATATTTCACTCGAATTGCGTGTTGAGGTCTTGTCAACTACTGAAATACAAAGACTGATGAAGTTAAATAAGTACAATGAGACTCTTCATTTTAATTTTGAAAGATCCAACGATACAAACCAATCGGCTGGAAAACTAGAGGTAAATCCAAAACATGCCAAGTGATTGGAAGTAATCGGTAAGAAACTCTGGATTTGGGTTCCATGCTTGTCAGCACTCATCAGCATGTATGTAGAGTTAAAATAAAATGGATACAGATCAACACAATCCTAAAATCCATAGTAGGTTACCAAGTTTCGCTGCAGCTGTTTTTACAACATACTGGATATTATTTCAGGTTTCATCAAGATAATTAATATCATTTTCACAAATAATCTTAGTTACCTTCTCAAGTGCATATTCGATATTCATATTTTTCGACCGATACTCGCTTGTTTTCGGAGTCCATTCAGAAGTGGACAAACATGGGCTCCGAGTAACTCATGAAAAGAGTCCCAGCTAGTACTCTAAAAAGAGAGACAACCCCCCACCCACCAGACCAAACAAAAGTTTTCAAATAATATAACCTGTCACTACCGCTGATTTGACTTCGACAGTTGTTTAGTGCCGCAACCAATAGCTGCTACCTTGATGTTATGGTCGAGCTTGCATATCACAATGACCCAACGAGCTATGCTAGTAGGACGCTTGTCCTCCTCAAGGTCCTACTATACTAGAAAGGTTAGTTAAATAGTGGCACGACAAAAAAGTTATCATTATAGTGTCACTACGTCATGATGGGGATCCAAGGGTAGAGTCACACTGCTGGCTGGATAGAGTTGTGGCAACAATGAGGTGTTTACAATGGATGACCAGCAATGCCACGATGAGGCTGTCTTTCCTATGGGAAGCGAAGATTGGAAAAGGTTGACCCTAAAAATTGCACATCCCCTCTACTTGATGGCATACAATGTCGGCGACATTGGTTTATAGTCGGAGTCGAATATAAATACTTAAGTTTTCAACTTCTAAAAAGGCCGTGTGTGACCGGCGCCAAACAGATGTTCCTTGGGCTCTGTAGTCACTCACTAAGACTTATTTTTTAGGTACCTTCCACGATGTAGGTAACCGGAAAGTGTTAACGGACCTCAAGTACATCAGCACCTCAGTTTCTTGAGATCAACTTTAATTTCTTCCAACCCTCCAGCTCTCGACAGAGATTTGGGTTCGTGAAACAGCATCACTGGTCTCCTAAAACCCTCCATGAAATTACACATAGGAGCTTCTAATGTCCATACTCTCCATCAACTCGCTCAACACCCTTTACGAGCCAGCACTCTAGAATCACGGGTCATGGATTTGCTGTGTTTGCGAAACACGCATACAAAACCGAAGTGCGGTTATTCACTCAACCTTACTCGGCCAATATGGTGAACTCGCAAAATTCGCACTTTGAGTTTCTGGAGATTCCATGGCCAGTTTATGGCATTTTGGAGATATTGGTATAACATTAATTGCTAAGGCGGAAAGTGTACTGCTCGACTGATTCCTAGCTTATGTTCTGTTTAACTGAAAGACACAATGAGAACTAAAAAGAATGATGAAACTCGCTGTTGTCACGTTGTAATCTTTGCTTACGCATCTACAGAAGGCATTTGGGAAGAAGTGAAGGGTGAGTTCTACCGAAAACTATCCAGCCCCCTACTGAAAGCTAGACTTTCAGATTGTTTTTACCGCAGACGATTTCAATGCAAACGTGAGTAGGGTGAGTCAAACAGAAAGGCACCTAGGTGGCAATTTCGGAATCCCAGCCAACCAAATGAACAGATAACGGCGGTCGCCTTGCTACAACTGTGCTCAGACAACTATCTGTTTCGAGTAAGGATGAACTTCAGAGGTAAACATTGTTTAACATGGCCTCTACCAACTTCAACTCAAAGGTGGACACAGATAGACCAGTTATCATTTGAGAAGGTCGGTGGAAGACTGCCACTCCTTCTGAGCACATGTTTGAAGAGTGATCATGCGTTGGTTAGAGCATCCTCACGTCTAAGCCTAAACAGACACTGGAAAACTTCGACATCCAGATCACGGAGACTGCTTCTTGACGATGAGGGTACTCAGACTACTTTCAGCAATGAACTGGATATCAGTAAAGAACAATATCACTCATCCAGAGGAAGCCTAGCACCTTCTCCAGTCTACAGTAAAATTCACTTAAGAAACTGTAGCTAACTGGTTAGAGAGACCTAGAGAATCTTAGCAGTTTTTGAATTAGTGGATGCATGCGCACGCAACTTCACGGGCACCAAGCACAATGAAGAGAGAATGCAACTCAAATGTAGACTGACGAAAAGTCTACACAATGACCACAAACAGTGGTGGACAGCAAAGACTACAAACATGAAGGCAGCGGCGATAGGTAACAGTAGATAGTTTAGATTAACTAAGGAGACCGGGTAGAAAAAGGCAGTGGTTAGTACGTCTATCACGAAGAAGGATGATTCTGTGATTCACTCACAAAGGAGAAAACTGGAATGAAATTATGGGCAGAAAACCCAGAGCAACGGTTCAAATGGTCTTCAGCTACTAACCTGTTACCTTGCTACCTAGTCGGATCTTCAACAGAACAACAAGATACGCCCCCCCCCCTAAAGCTTCCAGAAGTCGAGAAAGCTGCAAGCAATGTGAAACGAGGAATAGTAGGATCAGACGGACTAGTGGCATAGGTATTTGAAGACGGTGGTAGACACTTACTGATAAAATTAACTGATGCTAACTAGTGTGGGGGGTCAGATATGATCCCCTCTTACCAGACTCAAACAATGGCTGTCCCAATCGTCAACAAAGATGAGAAGTCCACTTGTGATAAACAAAAGGGAATTAGTGTGACAAACATAGTGTCCAAGATTCTAGGTCCCATAGCCACTAGACGTCTAAGTGGAGTTCGGGTACAGCAAACACGAGAAAACCATGGAGATTTCAGGCCTGGCCGTGTGTGTATTATTGACTAGATACTCACCCTCCACCAGGATTTGGAAAACACGCGCACCTGCCGACTTCTGATACTGGCTGCATTTCTTGACCTGAAGGCAACATCCAACTCCATCGACAGACAGGTCTTATAGTAATGTCTCTAGCTAAAAGGAGTGAATGTAAGTACACCGTTCTGTTGAAAGCACCGTACTTCATAAGCGTTTCAGAGCCTAGGGTGAGTTTTGTCATCATCTGACTTTACATGGATTCATTTAATCATGGGAGAAAACTTAGCTGACTTAGAGCACGAAGATGACTAGCCCTGTTAGGTGAAAAAGATGAGAAGAGGCAGAGTCTTCTGTATACTTTCATCGGCAATTTGAAGGTGTTTGGGATGCATTTCTCGGCAATCAAATGCAAAATGTTGTTCAAGGACAGGCCTTCGTTGGTACCTTACTTAACAATAAGGATTGAAGTAATTGAATGGGCTGAACACTTCAATTACCTAGGAAGTCGGATCAGCCCTGATGGGTTAGTGGCTGAGAAAATCTCTGCATGGATACATAAGCTTGATTAACCTTCTCCGACTTACACAATTTCTAGAGCCCTCACGATATCCGATTGTTTATTAAGGGTCAAGTGTATTGAGTTGCAGTTCACCCTTTTCTAATATATGGCTGCGAAGTACGGCCACTAAAGGTAGGGGGTATGATAAGGCTTCACAGGTCTAACCACCGTTTCCTTCGTAGTATAGGCTATATATAGTGGTGTCACCATGTCAGTCATGTAGAAGTTAGGTGTAGCCTTTCAAAACGAATAACAAAATCGGTCAATGAGGTTGTGAACCTTCATCGGTTCAGGTGGCTAAGACATGTGTCATACTTGAGTGGTCACCATCTGTCTCGCCCCACAATATTGACTGAAGCAGGTTCAAACTGGAAACAAATTAGAGGTAGCCAGAAAAACATGGTCTGAACCATGTAAGAAAATGCAGACTTCCCGTTTTGGGTCCACATTACGACAGAAATCGGTAGTTAGAGACTATAGATGACACGGCTCAGAGTTGATCTCCTTGGCACAGATTTATCCATACCTTATCCTCAACTTAATCATCATACTGAATTTTAGCGTCCTTTTATTCCTTTTTGCTCTCTTTTGATGACTTTCTACCACTTTTGACTGCTTTCTTTTATACTTCATCTTTTGTCTCAGAGCTTTCTCGCTCACTGTGCTAATATGTGTGGCAACTTGGCCTATTGCGCAGTGATTCCAGAATCCTTGGTTTATTTTACGTGTCTGTCATTAATTGAGAATTCCTCTCATTACGCTTTGAGTTCGTGCTGGCCAGAAACAAGTAACTGTCAAAACAAAATTTTAGGTGATGGTATTTCAGTGTTCCCTGAGCTTTGGATTGTTTGTCATGGACGTTTCAGCACCAGGTTTGCTGACATCTTTAGTAAAAGCTTCATAAAGAAACCTGGTTAATCTGTTACGTCCATCTGATATCATTAATCGCACCGTTTTTCTGCCGCTTTGTTATGCAATCATCCATTCAGCACAACAGTTGATGAGTGATCCATATCTAACACTTTATGCCAAAATGTTTAACCGTAAACATTTGTGTAGGAAGAAAAGCTTCTCTCGAGTGGAAGTTCGCTGATCGGCGAAGTTCTCCGATTTTCGAGAACAGAAAAGCGCGTTTCACTTCTTTATGAAGTTAGTGCTAAAGATGTCATTAACCCTAGTGGTGAAATGTCCATGATAAATTAGCAAAGCTCACAGGACACCAAAACACCATCAATCCCATCCTGAGCTACAAACTTTTCCCGTCACTTCAAAATTGTGTAAGACAGTCACCGTTACCAGTTCTTTCGCGTGAGGCTTTATAGATGTTCCAAAAGATGTCAACTGTTTCAGATTCACTAGTTGAACTTTAACACTCCTTGCTCATATAACTATCTGAACGCCCTATATTTCGCGGATAAGCCTACAGTTTTGAGTAAAATCCCATCATTCATACCATCCAAACTGAAGTCACTCAGTCTGTATGTTAAGGAAAAATAGGTATCGATGAGTATCACAGTCCTGTATAATCTTCACAAAGTCAACATAAATTGATGGTTGAGGATGACAGTTTTCAATCACTGAGGTCTGTCGCCCAAATTCACTTAGATTTCAGAAGTTGAAAAACCTTAATGTATAGCTAACAACGTAGGATTACCGGACTAAAAATTGTTTTATCAGCTTCAATAACTAGCATTGATCACAGAGTAAGAAGAGGACTGTATAGAATTTAAGGATGGTCAAAGATGATGAAAGGCAAAAGGATAAGGATGAAGCGACTGTGTGAGGATTTTGGTTTTTCATTCAGAGAATAAGGGTGGTCGATCCTTTCCCGAGTGCTCATACCAAGAATTAATTTCGTAAGATTTCAAAACCAAAGTGACACTTGCCTGCAGCTCTGGAAAAGAGGATGGCTTTAGGATTGTAGAAGCTTTTAGACTTTTTTCGTTTCTTAAATTCATACTCCCCAGCGATAGAGTTTTAAGGTACGGTGAAATACACAATTTTAACAGTTGAACTGTTATTCCTCCCCTCTTCATCTAAGTGGAAAGACAGTACACTTGAAGTCCTACTCTCCTGAAGGAGATGCCTAATTGCAACAACATCCTTCTGCATAGAGCAGTTCAATTTTTAATTCGAATCCTCGTTAGCGTAAATTAATTACACTGTGACAGTGGTTGCTTTAGTTTTACTAGTATTCGACCGATTTACAGGAGCAACACAGTTCCTCATCGGGATGCTCCTAACTAACGGCCTTGATTTTAATCACAAAAGAATGCGTGGAATCAAAAGATAAGAAACTGCCCTTTGGTTTTGTTTTCATTTATTTTAGCTAGGCACTCGATAGGGTGTCCCACTTGGGCTTCCTGGGAAAACCCGTAGGTTTCGGTATAAATGTTAACATGCAACAGCGGTTAAGGCACTATATGCATGGTAGTTAGCAGTCAGACTGAATGGAGTATTATCTGAATGAAAATCTGGGGTTTACTAAAGTCCTGTACTAGAGCCTCTTTTGTTTCTGCTTAATTGTAATGAGTTATCATGTCTTCTGAAGCAATCATTCGAACCATTTGCAGATAAGGATTATTCATCGTAATGATGATAGGACAGCACTTTAGAAGGACTTGGATGAATTGACCGAACGGTCTAAAACGCTGCAGCTCGGAAATCAACTCTAGCAGAGGTGCAGTACTGCACCCACACTGGTCATAACTCATGCTATCCTTACTCATTGGATGGATTAACATTGCTCTTCGTTAGGAAACAAAAAGACCTAGCTTGAAAGCAATAGCACACCATAACGCGGTTGCAGCCAAAGCGTTCTGTATGCTTTGGTCATTCAGTATGACCTTTAAGTGCTGTGATGAAGAAATATTTATATTTACGTAACATATCCGCAATATTGAAGACATTGAACCACTAATCTTTGCCTCAAGTAAGAAGCAGGCGCTCTAGGAAGGGTATATAAGGTGGGTACTAAGTCAGTGACAGAATTCATAACTCCCCCATAAAAAGCGGTTGGAAAATCAGGATATTTTCCCATTATCATATCGAAGGGAAAGAAATCTTATATTACCGTATCGTATCATGAATAATGAAGGGTGTTGATCGCTCTAATCTTTTTACTCCTTCTAGAATTGACTATCTAAGAGGTCACTATAAAAAAGTTAATAAGCCATAGTCCAACAAATTACGAGCGGGACTTAGATTCCCTCACAGGGTGGCCAACTAGTGGAACTTCTTACTGAAACTTTTGGTAGCTTCTCCCCCAGTGAACACTTAAGAAATTAAACCTTGAGAGATTTACACCAGCATAATTACTATAGGCTACTCCGTTTACTGTCGTTAAACCTAAAGCCCAAACCATCTTTAATGCATGTATCAGGTTGCATATTCAAGTACTCAATAAGACAGTGGCCCCCTAACGTAAATACGAATCTAAACTACATGAGCAAGAGCAGAGAAACGCGAAGTTACCTGCCAAACCAAGGGTAAGAAACCGACCCAACGACCTAAGAACTCTGACCCAATTCAAACTACGTGTCGTAAAAGAACCAACCTCGTCAAGACTTATAAAATGATTCACTACGTCAATTATTCGACCGAGCTAAGCCTTTCAGTACAGTAACGACCATCGCAAGGGGACCCTTATAGAACAAACTATCAGAAAGTTAACGGTAAAGTTAGACCTCAGCATGTGTTCTATGGAGTGCATTGCCAGGAGCAATAGTAACAGATTTATAGGCATTCTCTCGAAAGAAAGACAAACATGTTTACGAGTACATTCTCCTTTCAACATCCACCCAGTATACTAAACACTGTTGTTTCTTCTGACCCACCTTATACATTCTAGCACATCTTTGCTTCCTTGCCTCAATGCATTCTGAAGATTAGATACTCTGAATGGACACAGGAAAGATGTGCAGTGGGAAATGAGCCACATCTGTTGTCCTGTCTAACGATATTACCTACCTGCCCAAACTTCGGTAGTTGAAGCGGGGTTCCCATACGACTCTTTTTGAAAGCTAACTACCTAAACTAATGAGTTACAGCTCCGCATATCCAAGAGCCTACACAAACAGCAATCATGACCATTCTTTATTACCAACCATTCTGTAGGCTTTCATGTACACAACCTACGAGCATGAAGTAGAAACCAAATGACAAGCGACCACCTTCCAAGAGCCAAATACGAGTAAAAAAGGGCAGAACTAGTGACGACCAACAAAAGAAACCAAGCCTAAGAAACAAGAACTTTGAAACCACAAACTTCACTTGCACGATTGATAGTGCTGTTGACCTTATATGGCAATCAATAAAAAAAAATACTTGTCAAAACTCACCAGCATATTTGTAAGGATATTTTCGAAAGAATATTCAGCTAGATAAGTGAGGTTCCTATCCTCAACATGCCACAACTTGATGGATTTGTCTGCAGAAGCAGATACGCAGAGTGGGCCTTCTCGTGAAAAAGAGATAGCATAAATGCCACCTCCATGTGCCGGACTCCCTATCTCGCGCAGCGTTTCACCTGTCTCGCCATCATATAAAAAGAGCTACTAAATTATAGTTTGCAAACGAGACACTACCTTTCCATCTGCACCCCCAGAAACGAAAAACGACCCATCCCAAGAATACCGAACTATGTTGACGAAACCCTTGTGGTTCTGCAACAGAAAGCCGAAACTAAGCATAACAAAGTCATACCTGATATGAGTTCTTAAATGTGAATGGAGGACCTTCGAAAAAGGTCACTAAACCCTCGTCATTTCCCGTGATAGCACGATAAGGTCGAACAGGTCGGAAATCTACAGAGTTTACACTCCTACTCATGCCAGTGATAGTACCGACAGAAGAACCGGTTTCTACAATAAAGACTGCTCCGAATCTTAAAAAAATAGTAACAATATAACTGTTACTTTGAGGAGCCATTGCCACCGACGAGAATACGTGCATTATCTGAAGTCCACGCCAAATCATTTACTGCACCCATGAAAGGTTGATATTCATGCTTTAGCAGGTGCTCTTGGTTAACTGTATCCCAAATTCGAACTTTTCCATGGTTGTCTATGACTTCATTAGAATATACATCGTCTCACCTGCAGATGCGATATAAAACCCACTCGGTGAATATTTTGCAACATTAACAGCCACAGAATGTTGTGTGTACATATCATTGTCAGCTGGGTTCTAAGGAGATAAGTGACAAGTAACATTAAACCACCTCAACAGAACGAATAACAACACTATTTCCAGTTGCATAAATAAGCTTTTTACCCTTAGGATCAGCATCAAATACCAAAGATCTTCCCCTGACAACTTTAGGAAGTGGGGGAAGGATATTTTCTGCGGAAATATTCATAAAAGTCATTTAAACAGACCTAGCGTATACATGAGGTTCACCGGACTGTACAAGTTCTGGTTGCAACTTATGCGTAACGGTACCGCCTAACCTTCAAAGAATGTTTAAGGTCAAATGGTACAGATGGCTAGAATGGATGTTGACGGAATAGAAGCTTTCGCTTCCAATATCCAATATCCAATATTGATAGTGCGAGCGTAGAAAACTGGTAGTTTTTGATCTCTCGCGTCTAGTTCTTAGGGCTTGGTTCCAGTTGTTCGGTTTACTCCTGCAGTGGACGAGGAAATCCCTCTGCTTTCTTGCTTTTAGCTTCGGTGAGGTGGATGTTTTGTGGGTTAGTAGGTTGTAATTTGTAGAGTGATTAGGGAGCTACGGGTTGCTGGGAAGTTTAGAGAACTGCCATGACTCCTGTCTGTGTAGGTACCTGAAAGAGAATAGTAAGGTAGTGGTAAAGGAATGAAGAGAGAATAAAGAAGAGAGTGAAGTAGCACCATAGAGACTCTGGGAGCTGGGTTAAGGCCGTATCGCTAACCATCCTTGCCTTTAAACAGGAGTTTACGTAGATAGCCACTCCCCCTCCTGCTCTATGTTCCCTGTCCCTGCGGAAGAGTTCCATGCCAGCAACACGCATCTCTTCGTCGGAGATGTCCGATGAGAGCCAGGATTCGGTGATGAATATGATGTCGTAGTGCTGATGTTCACGCAGCGTCCTCATTTTTGCTACCTTCCCTATTAGCCCCCTAACGTTGCTGTACATACATATTAGAGTGTGCCTGATGAGAGGGGAGGTCTGGATGTGTATTTTCGCAGGATGAGCGCTTACGTGGTTGAATTTAGCCTCGCCAGTCCTCATAGGACTGGCATTGTTCCGTTTTTTTGTGTTTTGTTCTTAACTTGGGTGGGGGCTGTAGCAGTGGTGGCTTCTTTACTTGATGTATCTAACTCACTGGTCAGCGCCTGTGTGACGACCACTGACTCCAGAGGTCTTGGTGGTTGCCGTCTCTCCTCTTGCCTTGTGGGTCTAGGCTTACTTTCACATATACGTATTGAGCCACCCATGCGATCTTTCGCATTATACCATGCGTGCAGAACGTCTGTGAGGGAGGCATATGAGTCGAACTGGACGGCAAGTAGTCTGGGATTGGGTATGGTCTTCAGGTGCGCTGGCCTTGGCAGTCTACTGACGCTGTTGGCCGGTATACTGTTGAGACCAACTTTGGTTGAGAGCCATTGCCATTGTTGGACGTCGTGAAAGTACCGATCTTTGACCGAGCTGTCACTTGGCAATTCTGGAATCCCATGTACAACTATAGTGTTGTTTCTGTTGGGATTTCCAACCGCTGACTTTCTCTCCTCCTCTCTTATGACCATGGCTTGTCAGGCCTGGCCCGAATTTTACAGGCATTAACAACGTCCGGTTGTCGCGAGAGGAGGAGTGTGTCTTCAGCCTCTTTGGCGGTATTTAGGGACACACGTAAAGGGGGTGGCTTATCTCGGGGTGCATGGCTTCCTCGAGAAAGGCGACATAAAGTTGCAGGGAGGGGAGGGAGTCCCAGCATCTGACAGTAGTCGGTCCACATTCGGCTGTCAAATTGTTCCCTCTCGACCAACAATGAGTCTGTCGATACATCGACGTTGAACAAAATGATCGAGTTGGTCCTCCTGTGACCTGGGTTCGTTGTGGGTGGCACGCCCGACTTCCCAATGGGTTTGAGTAATTCCACTGGTTGTTTCTCAGTCACGGTGTGTGGGGTGTTCGGAATGGGTTTCGTAGAGGCTTCGGCGGTCGATGTCTTTGGCCATGCGCTTGACGTCCCCTGGGGCCGGGTAGGGGGTATGGAGACTTGACCTAATATGGTCCCCACGCGAGGTGGCGTGCCCACAGCTGGAGCTCTAGGTCTGTTTCCAGGTCTCTCTGTGTTATCCTTTGGTGTTAACCCTACTTTATTCGAGGATGCTGGTAGCTTTTGCGTGGCGGAGAGCATCTCCTTCAGGCTTTCTGTGCGGAGTGCGGGCATTTTCCTGCACTCTGGACAGATGTACCAGAACCACTTGCATGGTTGTCTCTTCATCAGCTTATAGTATTGTCGGGGGACTTTGGTATCGCAGTGGCAATGCGCCCATCGTTGACACAGGTTGCATGCAAATGCCTCATCGACTACCGAAACAACTTTGGTGCAAACACTGCAGCCATCGGGTGTCGTAATACAGCCTTCCTTCCATGAATAAGGTGCTACGGATTGTGGCGAACTGCTTGTGGCTGCCTTGTTCTGAAGCCTTTTACGTCGTCTTCTATTTCAGGCATGGTATGATCCTTGCTCAAGATAGGACTAGTTTGTGACGGGCTAGTGCTACTCTGTGTCACCTGTCTGATGGCGACTGGAATTCTAGAAACATGGGTTGGCCACTTCTTCAGAAGTTCGGTGTTCTGCCCTACCTCTGTTTGTCTTCTAGTACAGACTAGTGTGTTGTTTAGGGTGTTACTGGCCGTTGTTGTGCACGACCGCGTTATCCGTGTCAAAGCTTCAGACCTAGCGTTTTGGGCAGACATGTCGCTATGATATAAACTTCTTGGGAAAACAAGTAGTTAACAACAATAAGAGGGTTGAAGACTGAATGCAGCAAAAGGACAGAATAGAAAAGGGAAGATAATTTATGTTGGCTCACCTTCAGACACTTGTCACTTGATCCTCTGCTCTTGACCAACGAGTTTAACCGTAAGCTCCAGATGCGTATGTATAACCAGGAAAGATATTTCCTGGGGAATGACCTCCGAGGAGAACCGAGAGCTAAGGCAGTTTGGCAGCTGAAACGCCCAAGAACCACTGACAGGAGGTAGACCGGTTGGTTCAAAGGAATAATAATGCCAATTTTCAACTGTTGAGGAGTGAGCTGACGAATGCGCAGGGGTGAGGTGCGTGGATGGACAGAAGTGCTGCAAACGTTCGATGTTTTTAGATTGAGTATTGCAAGTGGGAGTTTTTCATTGTGGAAAAATCCAAAAGCTGAGAGACGAGCGAAACACGTCACTACTCAAGGAGCGCTTAACTGGCTTCTGCTTCTAAAACTCGTGGATCACTACTTTTTGTGGTTGATAACCTGTGTACAAGTAAATAAAGAGGAAAACATGTCGGTTAAAGTGTGAAAATTCAATTAGTTCCGAGTAGATCATAGCCACATGTCAAGTAAGCATCCAGTCGGCGTTCTGGGGATTAAGATGAAGTACCCTGGATCACATCAGCAGGAAGAGCTTTCCAGGGTTTGCCAACTCTTAGGGACTAAAAGTTATGTCCGATATCTAACCTTCTATGTTCCTGGCTTAATTTCTGTGTCCCCTAAAATTAGTGGATGTCCAGGCATACTCAGAATGTTGTGAGTCCTTATCAAGTCTCCTCTTCGTTCACTGTCTTCCAGAGGATACAAATCCAGCACAGCTAGTCGTTCTTCTTATTTTTTAGACCTAAGTCCTTGAACATATCTTGACAAGCGCCTCTGAATGCCTTCTGAGCCTAATTTGTCCTTCTGGAAAGAAGGGGGAAAGACGATGGTCCCGAACTCCAGGTGGAGCCGTATGAAGCTGCTGAAAATTTGGTGGGTGCATCTATGATTGAACTGCACGAAGATTCGTCCAAGAGTTACCATTGCCGATTTTCCACGACCTACGTTTCTGTCACAGTTGGCATCGGATTTTAAGTCTTTTTGAACTAAAACGCCCAAATCCTTCTCTGTCAGCGATGCTTGACGTTTCGTGCTGTTGAGACTATATATGTAAGATGTGCTGCGTTTCGCGTGTATTACCTCACATTTCTCAGGATCAAATGCAAGTCCGTTATTGAATGCCCAGTTTCGAAGTTGAGTTGTCTCCCTATAGAGAACCACTGTCTTCCCCCCTTTTATCCATAGTTTCGCGTCGCCTCCATAACGTAGGATTTCGGAGGGAGCCTGTTGAGGCAAGCCATTTATGTTTGTTGGAAAAAGAAGAGGCCCTAGTACTGAATTTTGCGGAACACCATCAGGACGTTCTGTTTCTTCAGATATAGGGAGACTCACTTGAAATCTAAATAAATGACCTCGTAGATGTGAAGACCGTTACGTCTGAGTTACGGTATGACGTGGTCTCTTATAATACGCTAACCAGACAATAACACAAAGAGATACTTGGACTGGATACGAGTAATACGACTGTTCTGCCCCATACCCTATGCTTCACTGAGCCACGAAAATCGGACTATAAGAGATGACCTGCGGCTGCTAGAAAAATATGGTACACATACATATATTCACAAAGCTCTCGGAAACGAAGCCATAAATAAACCACTCCGATAGGTTGTATGACATTGAATTTATCCGGCCAGGTTATCATCTCGGTACGTGCATGAATCATGATCTGGTCATGGCCAAAAAACAATTTCTCTATTGGCTGCCGTGTTATCGCTACCTATCAAAGGCAACCAGTCAATGAGCGGTGGTCGAATCCCCACTAACTTCAGCTTATCAGTAAGGATTGTGATTAGCACGGTCAAATGCCCTGGTAAAGTTAATTATGCTAGTCTGTCTTTCTACTGCACTGAGCAGATAATAATAATAATGTATATTTCATGCAACATAGGTTACATGAATGCAGGCCAGTTCACGGGTTTGATAGTTTTGGTAATGAGGAATGACTATCATATACAATGTTAAGCTATACATTAGATACCGTTATTCATGGCATGTAAGAGGTGTGTTGAAGCAGGCTCAGTTTGAAATTAGGAATTAATCGGTTACTGTTTGAATCTTCCAATACTCTTGAAGGCGGGGCGGGCAGTACAGTCGTGATCTTGGGGTGTGTGCGTTCATCATAAGGTTTTGATGGCAAGGTGCACACTGACAAGTGCGGTCTCTAGGATTCCATTTGAAGGCAGGACTGGTTAGGTAAACCTGAAAAGTGAGTAACGAAAGCGAGCAGCAGGCGAAATTCGAAACAGGAGCACAAAAATACTCAGGAGTAGATCAACCATGATACACCTGGGTGAGTTCCTTGTACTGACTACAAAACTTACTTCAAGAAGTATCCAGAACCAACTAGAGGTAAGCGTACATGGGAAAAGATGAAGGTGCGCACAACGGTAATGAAAATTAGTCTGAAGCCGAAGATA